CTTTTAACTCCATGAATCGCTTTAGACGAAGTTATTTGATGATCTCGACACAGTCCTGAACAGAACTGATGTACAATATTGGCAATCTACTAGTCTAGCATTTCATGATCCCGACACAATCCTCGAAGTACTGTGATACGTTTACAGTGTTGGCAATCTACTAGTCCAGCATTAAATGATCCCGACACAACCCTCAAAGTACTGTGATACAATGTTGGCAATCTACTCAACTAGCATTTCATGATCCCGACACAACCCTCGAAGTACTGTGATGCGAATCTGTGTTGCCAATCTACAAGTCTAGCATTAATGATCCCGACAAAGCCCTCAAAGTACTGTGACACAGTTTTGGCAATCTACTGGTCCAGCATTTCATGATCCCGACACAACCCTCAAAGTGCTCTGATACAGTGTTGGCAATCTACTAGTCCAGCATTTCATGATCCCGACACAACCCTCAAAGTACTGTGATGCACTGTTGGCAATCTACTAGTCTAGCATTTCATGATCCCGACACAACCCTCAAAGTACTGTAATACAATGTTGTCAGTCTACTATTCTAGCATTTCATGATCCCGACACAATCCTCGAAGTACTGTGATACGTATACAGTGTTGGCAATCTACTAGTCTAGCATTAAACGATCCCGACACAACCCTCAAAGTACTGTGATACAATGTTGGCAATCTACTAGTCCAGCATTTCATGATCCCGACACAACCCTCAAAGTACTGTGACAAAGTGTTGGCAATCTACTAGTCCAGCATTTCATGATCCCGACACAACCCTCAAAGTACTGTGATACGTTGTTAGCAATCTACTGGTCCAGCATTTCATGTTCCTGACACAATCCTCAAAGTACTGTGATACAGTGTTGGCAACCTACTAGTCCAGCATTTCATGATCCCGACACAACCCTCAAAGTACTGTGATGCAGTGTTGGCAATCTACTAGTCTAGCATTAAATGATCCCGACACAACCCTCAAAGTACTGTGATACAATGTTGGCAATCTACAAGTCCAGCATTTCATGATCCCGACACAACCCTCAAAGTACTGTGATACGGTGTTAGCAATCTACTGGTCCAGCATTTCATGTTCCTGACACAATCCTCAAAGTACTGTGACACAGTGTTGGCAACCTACTAGTCCAGCATTTCATGATCCCGACACAACCCTCAAAGTACTGTGATGCAGTGTTGGCAATCTACTAGTCTAGCATTTCATGATCCCGACACAATCCTCGAAGTACTGTGATACGTATACAGTGTTGGCAATCTACTAGTCTAGCATTTCATATCCCGACACAACCCTCAAAGTACTGTGACAAAGTGTTGGCAATCTACTAGTCCAGCATTTCATGATCCCCACACTACCCTCAAAGTACTGTGATGCAGTGTTGGCAATCTACTACATGTAGTCTAGCATTTCATGATACCGAAAAGCGAAATATTTGTTTTCAGCGTGTTAATGGTTTGTGGCTCATGGTAACTCTGCGTCGACTCCCGACCCTACATCTACCTCTTTCTTTACCACAACCAGGCTCACTTTACCTGTTGCACTTGGTAATCTGTACAGGGTTCATCCGCGACTGTCATGGTCCACTGAATGAACTACCTTGTTGGATATCAATGGCCATATTTACAACTGTTATAACAAACTGAACCGTAACATGACTTAATGACATTTTAATTATGGATAACAATGGGTAATCGGCCTCTTTGTGGGGGTAGGAGTGGGGGTATTTCGGACACACGAAATACGATTCATGTGTATCACAAATAGTTTATCATTCTGTGTAAAGTTCCGGTTAAGATTTCTGAGAAGCATGTAGCAGGGCGTGGAGTCGTCCCACAGATGACATCCTTACCTTGTCAGCTTGCTGACGGGGTTAACCTCTTTGGTCATGTGGACAAGGCGTCCGACCTCTGATCAGAAGGTTCGTGGTTCGAATCCCATCACGGGACTCGGAAATTTTATGGCCGCTACAAGCATAAGCTATCACTGTTATCAAATGCACAACCGTTTTTGTTTCACATTGTTCTTTGGAGTCACACTCAGATATACCTGCAAGACATGTGTTGGTGATAAGGTTAATACACCTAATGTTTTTGGTGCATGGTGATTGTGGGAGATTTCCAATTAATCTATAGCTTTTTTACTCATATATAGAGATAATTAAATATTGGTTAGGACGATAGAATATGGCATCTTATAGGTTCCCGAATTCTTTTTATAATGTGAAGGTAATCTTTGATAAAAAAATTGGAAAACGAAATTGGGTAACAGACGTGAAAGACTTGCTGTTTTCCGTTTGTTATTGCTATGTATGGTAGGTGTGAACAAAATGTACAATGTCAATCTCATTTCATTAGATAATTGACACAAAGGATACATCTTAACAAAACTGGTCTTTATCTGTATATAAATCAAACGAAATGGTAAAAACTGATTTATATCAAGAACAGTATTTGTAATGTTTAAATGTGAAAAGATTCCGGTTTTCCTTAGCAAGATTTCGATGTTGTTCACATGACCGATTTATTGAAACTGGGCGCTACATGAGCATTAAAAGAGAGAAACGCATTTGTCAAAGGTGCGCACTGAATGACATTGAGGATAAATATCACTTTGCTTTATATGTCCATTCTAATCAATATTAAGGACTAAGTATATCCCTGAATAGTAATATGTCAATCCCAATCCCAATTGCTTATTTTCACATAGTCTATGCACCGTTATCATGCTACGGGACACAGGCAAAATATTATGTTATAGACTCTTCTGCTCTGAATGTATATACTAATTATACGAAAAAAACAAACATTGAGTGAGATACCATCCATTTGAGTGAGTGTGTGGTTGTTGTTTAGCGCGACAGTCAGTAAGACTGCCTTCATGTCCATTAAAACGTGCGGTGACTTTGGTTTCTAGGCATTACGAGTTACCTCCCTTACCCATTTCCGTTTTCCTTATCCCGACGTTTGTTTGATCGGTATAATGTAAATGAAAATCAAGGTCGGGTATTTAAGAACGCAAGAACCAGGGGAATGGAAGAAGCGTGTGTAGGTTGTATAAACATAAAATATGTGAACCCAAGGGTTATGGTTACAGCAACATGACCCGTGAAGATCTGGGGTACGATAGGTCCAGTCTCATTCAAATCAGATCCTTGTTCTCGTTATCGCTACAGAAGGATGGGGACATCCCATTAAGGGTCACGTCAGAACGACCTTTCATCCAACCAATCAGAGCGTCGCTTACCAGATCATTAAAGCGACAGTCGGAATGTGTTTTCTAATCATGCAACCACAATATATTTAACAGAGGGTATTCCGAACGACAGTTACGGGTTTTATGATTATACCCATACCATCTAGGCCATCTGTAAGCCATTCCAGAGTGTTCTTTTCAGTTTTAATTTTGTCAATCGGGAATACGTCAAAATATGTTTCGAAGCGTACGCCAGTTTGAAACTCGTGTCGTAAAGCTCGAGAAAGCTGCCTTCTGATTGGCTAATGTCGATTTCTTGTCAGTCATTTCCTTGGTCGGTCAAAATTCGCGAAAGGTCGTTCTGACGTGACCCGTAATGGGATGTCCTCAGATCTTTGTTTGGCGGTAGCGAAAACTAAATTTTAATGCTTGCCGTAAAAGGCGAGAATGCTTGTCGTAAGAGGCGACACACGTGATTGGGATCTCGTTGACTTGGTTGATGCTTGTAATCGTATCTCAATTACGTGTGTCGGTGCTCATGTTGTCAATCACTGGATTGTCTGGTCCAGGCTCGATTATTTACAGACCGCCGTCATATCGCTGGAATATTGTTAAGTGCAGCGTTAAACAACAAACAAAGAAACTATTGTCAAGTAAGACAAGGCTTGTTTCTCCAAAATTGGTCTTTTCATTATTGATTTCGTTACAGATACCTTAATAATAGCAATTAGGGTGACGTCTGAAATATTCGGCGCATCATATAATCCTTATTTTGTCATTGGTTTGCCTAAACCTTTATTTGAACTCTCAAGTGTAAGTGTAACTCTTGACATGCAATTATCTAACAACAATAATTTACATATAGAGGATATTTCATGTGTCGAGTGAAACATCATGTTTCTCTCATCGAGTGACGGGGGGCAAGGAGATATTTTAAAATATCACCTTTTACCCCGTCATGAGGTGCGAGAAACATGACATTTCACGAGGCACATGGACTATCTTATTCATTATATACTTTTTGTGCAGTTGTCTACCGGAAAATTAAACTTGTTCATTACAAATGTTAAACCCTGAAACGTAAATTGTCCCTACCTGACACACAGGGACGGTTCACCATCCCTTGCATTTGCGACTTAAAAAGTAGTTTCGTGTTTGCAAAATCTTACAAAAAAATATAAACAAAAGTATGAAAAATATAAAGGGTCACGATAATTCTTTTTCATACATTTTGATTGATTATTTACAAAATCATCTTTATCAAAAAGACATTTTGAATACTAGGAGACCGCTGAGAGAAGCGAAAGAATGCACGCTGGTCAGTTAACAGCATCGCGCTTTGCGAAACGAACAGTCTCGATTGTTAAATGAGAGATTTACAGTTTGTAATGAAACATTTTCGAGTGAAGAATAAACGGCTAGAAGTGATATTGACTCCATTAATGACTATCCGTCATTATTTTGCCTTGACAATGTGGAACGAACGTCAACAGTTTGTGTACGGGCTAGTCATTTACGGGCGCAATCGGGTAGCCTAGTGGTTAAAGCGTTCGCTCGTCACGCCAAAGACCCGGGTTCGATTCCCGACATGGGTACAATGTGTGAAGCCCATATTGGTGTTCCCCGCCGTGTTATTGCTGGAATATTGCTAAAAGCGGCGTAAAACCATACTCACTCACTCACTCAAAGTGTTATGTTCACTGCAGTGAAACTCAAGTGTTATGTTCACTGCAATGAAAATATCACTTTTCTCAACTTCAGGAAACTAAGTCTTTCACGCTAGAGTATATAACAAATTGTTTATATTTTTCAGGTTGCAATCCTGACTCTTGTTGCCATTAGCATCAATGGCTGTTTCGGTGTACCTGTGATCCGAAACGTAAGTATGAAGTCCTTTGAAAAGTATAAAGTATCTAACGAGAATTGAATGTCATCGGAAAGTACTGGGCCCACTTGCACAAAGCGATCTCAGCGCTAAGTCGTAGCGCTAAGATCGCTTTGTGCAAGTGGACCCTGATGTCATAAGAGGTGAGACAAATTCTTACGATAGATACCATCTACGTGACGATGCCTCTCAAATAGTAATTATGGGTTCGAATCCAAGATTCACCCTGACTAAGACCGTGGGTTTCACCAAAATTCAACCACACTTTGTTCCTTCTTCCACGTTAAACGGCGAGATATTTATGGAACACAGTGATGAATCCAACAAACTGACTCTCTGAAATGGGCACCTTTCAACAGACAGTTACCTAATTTACTTGTACGTTTTAGCTCAGAGACTGTGTCATATATTTGACATGAATTCAAACTGTCACATAGCGTGGTTTTTTTTTGTAACAGTGCTCCGTTGTGGATCTTGCCGCTGACATTCAAGCAACCACGTGCGGCTCCAAGACGGAAACGAGGTACACCAACGGAACCCTGATTGACATACAGTATTTTGCGAACGAGGTGAGAGTATATGATGCAAGTGGTTCGATACGATACTACTATGTATCTACTTTTGAGTTTACATGTACCAGTATCCATACATGTACCAGTATCCATCAGGTACCAGTATCCATACATGTACCAGTATCCATCAGGTACCGGTATCCATACATGCACCAGTATCCATCAGGTACCGGTATCCATACATGCACCAGTATCCATCAGGTACCAGTATCCATACATGTACCAGTATCCATCAGGTACCAGTATCCATACATGTACCAGTATCCATACATGCACCAGTATCCATACATGTACCAGTATCCATCAGGTACCGGTATCCATACATGCACCAGTATCCATCAGGTACCGGTATCCATACATGCACCAGTATCCATCAGGTACCAGTATCCATACATGTACCAGTATCCATCAGGTACCGGTTTCCATACATGTACCAGTATCCATCAGGTACCAGTATCCATACATGCACCAGTATCCATCAGGTACCAGTATCCATACATGCACCAGTATCCATCACGTACCAGTATCCATACATGTACCAGTATCAATCAGGTACCAGTATCCATACATGCACCAGTATCCATACATGTACCAGTATCCATACATGTACCAGTATCCAAACATGTACCAGTATCCATACATGTACCAGTATCCATCAGGTACCAGTATCCATACATGCACCAGTATCCATACATGTACCAGTATCCATACATGTGCCAGTATCCATATATGTACCAGTATCCATACATGTACCAGTATCCATCAGGTACCAGTATCCATACATGTACCTGTATCCATACATGTACCAGTATCCATACATGTACCAGTATCCATCAGGTACCAGTATCCATACATTACATGTACCAGTATCCATAGACGTACCAGTATCCGTACATGTACCAGTATCCAAACATGTACCAGTATCCATACATGTACCAGTATCCATAGCAGGTCACTTTCAAACCGAAGAGACCTGTGAAGATCCGGGGTAGAATAGGTCTTCAGCAACCCATGCTTGCTGTAAGAGGCGACTAACGGGATCGGGTGGTCAGGCTCGCTGACTTGATTGATGTATGTCCCCGGACCTTCACAGGTCGGTTTGGAGCTTCCGCCTCATGTCCCTGCATACTCTTGTCACCAAAACGTAAATGACGTCATGTTTAATGAGGTTTAGTGAAGAAACCTCGAAATCTATTTTTCCATGCAGAAACAAAAGCGTACATCCTCTCATCAACTCCTCCCCTTTATGTTTAGTACACATGGAATTAATACTTATGTGAAATGCAATTTTTGTTTTACAGACCATGTCGGTGATGCAACTTGGAAACGACACATCCTCGTGCTACATTCAACGTTCGGTCGCCTTACCAGATGGAGTATGTACATAAAACATTATTCACACTTTTGAAATAATTAATATGTTGGTCATTACCTTTTTTTTCTCCATTCAACGCCTCACTTTATAATCCATTCGACTGTGATTCACAAACACATGCTTATCATTCTCGGAATCGTACAACGGACTCTGATTTTAGCAGTGATTTCTTATGATTATGGAAAGGGTTTCCGTTTTATTGCATCAATCATACTGTCAACAGATTGACTACGTGGAGGCATCTGAGACAGATGTCAGAGAAGAGGCCAATGGGGAAGTATCTGCCGCCATCGTCGCTCTGGTCCCCGAGTGTGCAGGTCGCTCAATCTATGAGCTGCAGCCGGAAGCAAGTAAAACAGCCGCAGGTACGTGTATCGCTGCTCGATTCTCTCGAGTGCAGCGATAAATAGAGAATCTCACCCTCGTGTCTTTTGATATCACATATATCAACACGAGTTGATAAAAGTGGGAAAACTCCGAGGCTTGCCGAGGATTTTTTCCACTTTTATCAACGAGTGTTGATATATGTGATATCAAAAGACACGAGGGTGAGATTTTATTCATCATCCAACATCATTCTTCATACTTTTTCAGTTTGTAGAAAGTAATAAGCAGTGTCTTAAGTGTAAAAAGTACTGCTAACAGCTTCAGTAGCAGAGCCATTAGTGATGTCATTTGATTGTGACCTAAGCGATATCTCCTGTGGTAGCCAGTTTTGGATGATAAACAACAAACACCAACACCAACAGTTGTTCTTTCTGGTGTAGGGTTAATCGTGCCATGCTACTGTCCAACGGTTTGGGTGTACATCATTATTTTATACCCATATCTTTGTAAGTCGACCTGCTGTAAGAGCAGCCAAAGTTTCACTTCAAACTCAACTTCCACTGATGTGGGTACTGAAGCAGGTTCATTACAGAGCAACATTCTCTCTCTATATGATGAATTAATTCTTAGCCTCAGCTTCCCCCCCCCCCATCCCCAAACATCCCCACCCCACACCCCCACCCCCAATATCAAATGGCCCGCCCCTGATAGCGCAGATGGACGTCTTGCGTATGCGCCGCGGTGGCCTTTCTTAGTTGCGTACATAATCTCTTCGTAAAAGTCTTTTTATATCCCATATAAAGCATATGGTAAAGTTGAGATATTTATTGAAACCATGTTCCTCGGAAAAGAAAATGTTATTGTCGCCGCGAATAGCTGCAAAATTGCTGATGCGGCGTTAAGCAATATTCACTCACTCACTCACTTTGGTATTAAGATTTATGTTATTCTCTTTACAGGTAGAAAGAAGAGATGGTGCGGCTACTTTTACCGTTGCTTTCGCTTCAGATTCCGATATAGATGGTATTACAGATACTTCATATATTGTAAACGTTACTATGTCTGCTGAAGATTCAAATTAATGACACATGTCAGGCCAAACTCAAAGCTTCCATAATAATCTGTGAATTTTCAAGTCTTCCTCTTGTGTAAATCAGTTGTAATTTGTTTTTTATCTATATTGAAATTGCTTCTTATCATGGCCAAAGATGAAGAGATGGAATGTTTTGCATTTGTGAGAACCGGCGTTAAACGGAAATAAAGACGGAAACTGGAAAGATGAGTTGTGTTTCCTTTTTTCAATACTTTTTTTAATAGCACAATTAATCCTCGTTTACTTGGGGTTCTTGTGACCATCGACATTATCCACATTTCTGTATTAGACCATTACCTACATGTACGTTGTCTTAAGCGATATGTCGAGCTGACGGTGTTCGAGTTGAAAATGTTTTACAATATTTGATAAAAGCAGCTTATTAAGAATTTTTACCCACACCAACGCCAACACAATAAAAGTCTTTTCACTTGTCATGTTATTAAACGCATCGTCTTGGTTTGAAATACATATGCACAAGGGTTTACTGTGTGATCAATCAAATCAAAATTCGCATTTATGACCACTAGGTCCTAATGCAGCCACCAAATACAAAGGACCCTGGAATCACAGGTAGTCTATATGGTGAATGGGCCACTGAGAATCGGTGATGACACCAGGTGCTTGCGAAAAAGGGCAAATATGCCCCACCCCGCCGGCAGCATCCAACACTCCATCAATTTGCATAAAAAAAATAACTTAGTTTGGGTATTGTTATGAAAATGCGTGGATCGATGCTCATGATGTCAATCACTGGATTGTCTGATCCAGACTCGATTATTTACATACCGCCGTCATATAGTGAGTGAGTGAGTGAGTAAGGTTTTACGCCGCTTTTAGCAATATTCCAGCAATATCACGGCGGGGGAAACCAGAAATGGGCTTCACACATTGTACCCATGTCGGGAATCGAACCCGGGTCTTCGGCGTGACGAGCGAACGCTTTAACCACTAGGCTACCCGACCGCCCCCGCCGTCATATAGCTGGAACGAATGAATGAACGAACGAATAAAGTTTTACGCCGCTTTTCAGCAGTATTCCAGCAACGGCACGGTGGGAGGCATTTGGGAATGGAACCTAGTCTTTAGGCGTGACGAGGTAACACTTTAACCACGATGCTACACCGCCATCTTTGAGGACTTAACAAAACACATCAGAACATAATTTACTTGTGTCTAAGCTTGATCCATGGCGAGGAGAAAGTGGGAAACGGACATAGTAATAAATGGTTATTGCATCCGCACTCTCCTCATCCACCATCACGTGGTTGAACAAAGAGGCTGACCTTTGATCAGCCTCTACAGCAGCAGTCAAATGGGTGTTTAAAAGGTTCATCGTCATTGGTAGTGAGTGGTCATGTCATAGACTAGGTCTTCAGCAACCCATGCTTGTCGTAAAAGAGTGAGTGAGTGAGTTGGGTTTAACGCCACTTTTAACAGTATTCCAGTTATATCACGGCGTGTCAGCTTAATGTGGGAGGAAAGCCCGAAGTGATGCAGGTCTCAGACGTTTACCACTTTGGTGAAACCGGGTATGTGCTGACAAACCTAGAAACATAATCGGGGCGAACCGGGATTCGAACCCACAATCATAGGTTTCTGGCGTGCCCAAGGGACGCAACTCGGGTGGTAAGGCTCGCTGACTTGGTTGATACATGTCATCGTATCCCAATTGCGTGGATCGATGCTCATGATGTCACTCACTGATATGTGTGGTCAAGACTCGATTATTTACAGACCGCCGTCATATAGCTGGAATATTGCCAAGTGCGGCGTTAAACAACAAACACACAGAGAAAGTCATAATTTTGAAACCTCAATCTACGGTAGCTTTACGTACGCCTCAAGGTTTTATACAAATCTCTGTAAATATAAAACGTTAAGAGAATAAAGGACGAAATATCTGTGAAAACTATATGAATGGACCACCGAAAATCAGTGATGACACCAGGTGTTCGCTAAACATGTCCTGCCCTACCGGAAGCACCCGCCCTTCACACAATTTGCGGGGCGGTCGGGTAGCCTAGTGGTTAAAGCGTTCGCTCGTCACGCCGAAGACCCGGGTTCGATTCCCGACATGGGTACAATGTGTGAAGCCCATTTCTGGTGTCCCCCGCCGTGATATTGCTGGAATATTGCTAAAAGCGGCGTAAAACCATACTCACTCACTCACTCACACAATTTGCATAAAAAAGGAAATATTTTTAGCTTGACACACACCGGTATTCCAGCCATGCGACGGTAGCCTTTGAACAAACTGATCGATAGACCAGACATTCCTGTGACACGATAGTGTGTTTAGTGATTTAGTTGAAGCTTGGAAAAACGACATGTTGAATGACGTCTGCTGTGTACAAGTGCAGATATTCAGCTTCTCACAAGTAAAGAAAAAACACGTTTCGCTCTGATAAAACCAGTAACACGGGGTAGCTTCGTGTGTCTAGACACATTGTACTCAAAACGTGAAAGCTGTTCTTGCATGTACGGTTGTTATAGACACGGGTACGATTGAAATGCATTGTTGCCTCTTAAAAACTAACCCGAGTATGCATTCATGTGACACTGTACCTATTTGTAGATGACAAGGCACACTCAGTCACCATAAACAAGGAAGTGACAACATAAGCCACCAATATGGCGGCTGTGTGCTGTTCAACCTTCATGTTCTGAAACATTGTGGATCTGTAATATATATACTGGAATTGTTCCAATCCACAGCTTCAGGCGTCCTGGTAGGTTTGATTCAGACATCAATTACTATATAAGTTGGGTGATGTATGACGTTTCCAGTAGTAGTAGTACGTTAAATGGGATGCATGTAGCTTACATGGAGTTGGTTGTACGTTAGATGGGGATGTATGTAGCTGACATGGAGTTGTTTGTACGTTAGATGGGGATGTATGTAGCTTACATGGAGTTGGTAGCATGTTAGATGGGGATGTATGTAGCTTACATGGGGTTGGTTGTACGTTAGATGGGGATGTATGTAGCTTACATGGAGTTGTTAGCATGTTAGATGGGGATGTATGTAGCTTACATGGGGTTGGTTGTACGTTAGATGGGGATGTATGTAGCTTACATGGGGTTGGTTGTACGTTAGATGGGGATGTATGTAGCTTACATGGAGTTGTTAGCATGTTAGATGGGGATGTATGTAGCTTACATGGGGTTGGTTGTACGTTAGATGGGGATGTATGTAGCTTACATGGAGTTGGTTGTACGTTAGATCTGGATTTATGTAGCTTACATGGGATTTGATGTATGTTAGATCTAGATGTATGTAGCTTACATGGAATTGGTTGTACGTTAGATGGGGATGTATGTAGCTGACATGGAATTGGTTGTTCGTTAGATGGGGATGTATGTAGCTGACATGGAGTTGTTTGTACGTTAGATGGGGATGTATGTAGCTTACATTGAGTTGGTTGTACGTTAGATGGGGATGTATCTAGCTTACATGGAGTTGGTAGCATGTTAGATGGGGATGTATGTAGCTTACATGGAATTGGTTGTACGTAAGATTGGGATGTATGTAGCTTACATGGAATTGGCTGTACGTAAGATGGGGATGCATGTAGCTTACATGGAATTGGTTGTTCGTTGGATCTGGATTTATGTAGGTTACATGGAGTTGGTTGTACGTTAGATAGGGATGTATGTAGCTTACATGGAGTTGGTTGTACGTAAGATGGGGATGTATTTAGCTTACAAGGGGTTGTTTGTACGTTAGATGGGGATGTATGTAGCTTACATGGTGTTGGTAGCATGTTAGATGTGGATGTATTTAGCTTACATGGAGTTGGTTGTTCGTTAGATCTGGATGTATGTAGCTTACATGGAGTAGGTTGTACGTTATATCTGGATGCATGTAGCTTACATGGAGTTGGCTGTACGTTACATCTGGATGCATGTAGCTTACATGGTGTTGGTTGTTCGTTAGATCTGGATTTATGTAGCTTACATGGGATTTGATGTATGTTAGATCTGGATGTATGTAGCTTACATGGTGTAGGTTGTACGTTAGATCTGGATTCATGTAGCTTACATGGTGTTGGTTGTACGTTAGATGTGGATATTTATAGTGTATATGGTGTTGGTTGTACGCTTGCTGGGGTCTGTATGAAGCTTACATGGTAAAACCAACACCATTGTGCTACATCTTCGTATATATCTTCTTTGAGAGGCATTTAGGAGGACTAAGTAAGGATAAGACATATGGATGAACAACTTCTGTATTACACTTAGGAGTGACGTTTCAGTGTAGATTATAACACCGTTATCAAGCAAGTCATGTACAGATGTTGTTGTTGCATTAAGTGTTTAAGAGGTCGCCTTCTGCCTAGGCAATTTCGGCTGACCTGTCCCTCTTTGGGACTCCTGTGTGTGAGTAGGGTACACATATCTATTGTGAGTTTGGTGTTCACATAATTTCTGTTTTTGTAATGATATGATTTCTATTTTCTTATATTGATATGATTTCATTTTTATCCTTGGCTGCTCTGTTTATATACGTTCGAGTAGCTGTCCATCTCTCAGAAATAGAGTTAGTTTGGCCTTCGCTATTGCATCTCTTGGCTTTAGGAGATCTATGACGGATAGCGGATCTAATTGCAATTCTTGTTTTAACCTAGCCTGGGCTGGGGCATGGTCTTGACATTCTAGTAACACGCGATCAATGGTTTTTAGCCTGATTGCAAGATGAACAAACCTTGTCATAGTGCTTTTTGTGACCGAGTCTGAGGCGTGAGATAGCAATTTCAATTTTCTTTTCATTTGAGTATGAGTTTGGCTTTTGTTGGACCTTTGGTTAAATTTTGTATAGCCATCTGCCGATCGTACTTGCGTCCCATTGGGCTTGCCATCTTTCTGCTATGGAGGCTTTGATTTTGCTTTTTATCTCTAGTTTACTAAAGGGAATAGGCTGTATATCCGCTTTGTCTAGAGCTAGCTTCGCCAGTGAGTCTGCTTTTTCATTTCCATGAATATCTATGTGAGAGGGGATCCAACACAGCTCCATCTGTTGCCCTTGGTCCGATAGTTTTGTGTATTCGTATAGAACATTGTTGACTGTTTTTTGCCTGGAGTTTGAGTTTCTGCCGCTGATTGCCTGAAGTGCACTTAGCGAGTCTGATAGGACGACTGCCTTTGCTTCCGGAGGTTCCGGTATGAGTTTGAGTGCATGATGAATTGCCTCCAATTCAGCAGTGAAAACTGACTGACCATCAGGCAAGCGAACTGAATGTGTTTGGGGTTTGGAGCTGTGGATATGGATCCCGTTACCAGCACTGTTGTTGGTAGGATTCTTGGATCCATCAGTGTATATATGGGCCCAGCTGTCCCGGGTAGTTTGAATTTTAGTGACAGCTACTGATCGTAGAAGGGTTGGGTTTTCTTTTTTAGTGACTTCTGGTGTTAAAGCAGTGTCAACTTTGGGATTTTTTTAAGTCCAGGGAGGGTGTAACCCTTTGTAGTGACTTTCTGGAGGCTGAATGTCATCACAATTGTGACTTCGAATGAGTTCATGTACTGATATCTCAGATGGCTTTAGTGAGGGATTTTTTCGAGCTAGGGCTTCATCTCGAGTGTTTTTGTCTTGCCTTATCTTTTTAACCAAAGGGTTTGATGTTCGTCCCCAGAACGATAATATTGCCTGCTCTCTTCTTAGTTTGAATGGGAGTTCTCCCGTTTCTACATGTAGTGCTTCTAGTGAGGTGCCTGTTGCTACGCCTGTGGCCAGCATTAGGGCTTTGTATTGTATTCTGTCTAGGCGCCTCAAGATAGTATTTGATGCTGAATGAAAAGCCTCACAACAACAGTCAATTTTTGATCTGATAAGAGATTTGTAGAGGTCCAGCTGAGTGTCCCTCGATGTGCCCCAAGATGTGCCTGAAACCGCCCGTAATACGTTCAGGTCTTTTTGATATCTGTTTTCCACATATTCTATATGTTTGCGCCAAGTGAGGTGTTGATCAAGGATCACCCCAAGAAATATTGTAGATTTTTCGAATTTGATAGGTTTGCCTTTTATGGACAGACGGGGTATCATAGCATCTTTACCCCGGCGTTTGAATAGAACTCCAACAGTTTTTTCACTTGAAAGGGTGAATCCCCATTTATTGCACCATTGATCTACTCCTTTCAGGGCTGACTGGAGTTTTTTTCTGATTTGTGAAATATCTCTGTGCTTTACCCATATTGCTCCGTCATCAGCGAATTTAGAAGTTTGGGTAGGAGAGTTGACATGGTCAAAAAGATCATTGATCATGATATTAAACAGGGTTGGGCTTATAATGCTGCCCTGTGGCGTGCCATTGTCCAGTGCCATAGGATCAGATCGATTGTTCCCTATTTTAACTGATAGCGACCTGTCTTGAGAGTATGGTATATATACATGACAGGAGGCAGTGTTTATACAGTTGAGTAGGTTTAAGATGCAGTTACACTGCCGGAGTGAAGAAGACCTACTGAACTGTATAAACACTGCCTCCTATCCTGTATATATACTTGTCAACCATACTCTGTACATCACTTGCTTGATAGCGGTGTTAGAACCTACACCGAAACGTCGCTCCTAATTGTAACAAAAAAGTTTGTCATCCATATATCTTATCCTTACTTAATCTTTATATATGTGTGTGTATATTGTGTATGTTTTGTATATATTTGAGTATATACCGTTTTTATCCGTTGTATTCTCCTGAGAAACCTACCCATTGTATAGACGAGTTATTATTTTCCTTGACACCAAGGAATGCAATCGTGTGCCCTTTCACATCGTCCAATAAATCCCCCATGTAATACATACCCAACACGAAGAACAGGTTTATATTTCTTAGTAAACTTCAAGTGAAAGGTAAGACCATACACTGCCTATCTATCTGCTCACCTCCAGACCAGGAAGTTGTCTATTAATAGACGAGAATGTGTGCAATATCGATTACATTACTGAGGTAGGCAAGGCTAAGCAAGGATAGTTCAGAATGCGTAGTGATATCAAGTACATGCCCTCGTAAGAAATGCGCGAAACCTTTTCCCTAATCAAAATTAACGTCCAACAGTAATTCAAACAATACAGAGAAAAACGAGAAATGCACAACATTGGATTTAACTAATCATGCTTGTTTTATTTGGCAAAACATTTCTTGTAACGAAAACATGTATTTAATATTTGTTTAACCATAACCAGAGCATACATGTATATGCTACTTGATATCCGCGGGGCGGTCGGGTAGCCTAGTGGTAAAAGCGTGTCAAGACCCGGGTTCGATTCCCGACATGGGGACAATGTGTGAAGCCCATTTCTGGTGTCCCCCGACGTGATAGTGCTTGAATATTGCAAAAAGCGGCGTAAAACAATACACACTCACTCACTCACTCACTCACTCACTCACTCACTCACTCACTCACTCACTCACTTACTGATATCCGCGATGACGAGCATAAGCGCGGCGTGCTCACCTGGGACCCTAACTGTGGACACACTTATTTTGACGTTCTTCCTTCTGGAATAGGGGCGGTCTGGTAGCCAAGTGGTTAAAGCGTTGGATCGTCACGCCGAAGACCCGGGTTCGATTCCCGACATGGGTACAATGTGTGAAGCCCATTTCTGGTGTCCCCCGACGTGATAGTGCTTGAATATTGCAAAAAGCGGCGTAAAACAATACACACTCACTCACTCACTCACTCACTCACTCACTCACTCACTCACTCACTCACTTACTGATATCCGCGATGACGAGCATAAGCGCGGCGTGCTCACCTGGGACCCTAACTGTGGACACACTTATTTTGACGTTCTTCCTTCTGGAATAGGGGCGGTCTGGTAGCCAAGTGGTTAAAGCGTTGGATCGTCACGCCGAAGACCCGGGTTCGATTCCCGACATGGGTACAATGTGTGAAGCCCATTTCTGGTGTCCCCCGCCGTGATAGTGCTTGAATATTGCAAAAAGCGGCGTAAAACCATACTCACTCACTCACTCACTGATATCCGCGATGACGAACATAAGCGCGGCGTGCTCACCTGGGACCCTAACTGTGGACACACTTATTTTGACGTTCTTCCTTCTTGAATAGGGGCGGTCGGGTAGCCTAGTGGTTAAAGCGTTGGATCGTAACGCCGAAGACCCGGGTTCGATTCCCGACATGGGTACAATGTGTGAAGCCCATTTCTGGTGTCCCCCGCCGTGATAGTGCTTGAATATTGCTAAAGCGGCGTAAAATCATACTCACTCACTCCTTCTGGAATATAAACAGTAAAGCATTGCTATTCTTCCTTTGTTGAAAGTCGGTATAACTTCACATAGTGGATAAAACGTTTGTGGGGCTGGGTTTAACTCCCCACGTTGATAAATGAAGTCTGTTCTGTGCGCCCTGTCATCTGTCATGGCTAACATGATGATACGAGTGAAGCAAAACACTCACTCACTCTCAGCATTACATTTATGACGCGTTCAATTATTAACGAAATAAACGACTCGTCCTTGCTGTTATCTTACAATAAAAAAGTATTAACTACGAGGGGCGCAGCCCGTTTATTCTCCGGGCAGTGTTTTATTGCATGATAAACAAAGACCACGAGACGTTTATTTCTTATATGAGATATCAACATTGACAGCCTCTGTAAGGATTTTGATAAAATGTACAAGCTTGAGAGATATTTACCATGATTTTAATGATGGAGACTCCCTGAATAGAATCCGACCTCGGAATTGTCGGACAAGTCCATTTAATGAACAGGTGGGTTACGTTTGCTATTTTCCGCATGTTCTCACAATCCTCACGCCGGTTACCTGTACCTTTTCTCCTAATACCGATTGTCATACCCCTTCCACTTTTGGACGCGATCGTTCGGCCACTATGTTTATCCGAAGAGTCTTGCTACATCTATGGCGTTCAACTAACTGCCACTATCCTCTCAAAAATAACGTCGTCCAATATATGATCAAGTTGCGAGCGCATATTCGAATCTCCAGAACTGACGTCATGATATAACATGTGGAATGTTTTATCATGAAAAAAACCCACACCCTTCGTTCTTCTGTGTTCTTTGCTATTTATCGCGTAGCTATCATATATGTTCATATAATTTGTCGGATCAGATACCCCACAAAAATGGCTGGTACCTTTGAGGAAACATACCATCTAGAAAAGCCGCAGATCCTGCCGTTCCTGGAGTCCGAGGATGGCAAGTGTGTGATGAGCTCTCTTCAGGAGCAGGAAGGATGCGTAATAAAAGTCATGGAGATAGACACTGGTGAGTTCAGGCTGTGGAGGGGCGGTCGGGTAGCCTATTGGTTAAAGCGTTCGCTTGTCACGCCGAAGACACGGGTTCGATTCCCGACATGGGTACAAAGTGTGAAGCCCATTTCTGGTGTTCCACGCCGTGATATTGCTGGAATATTGCTAACAGCGGCGTAAAACCATTTTTGTTGTTTCTTTTGTTTGTTCTTTATGCCGCACTCAGCAATATTTCAGCTATATGACGGCGGTCTGTAAATAATCGAGTCTGGGCCAGACAATCCAGTGATTGATAGCATGAGAATCGATCCACGCAGTTGGGATCGATGACATGTATCAACCAAGTCAGCCAGCCTGACCACCCGATCCCGTTAGTCGCCTCTTACGTCAAGCATAGTCGCCTTGACTTGGGTTGCTGAAGACCTATTCTACGCCGGATCTTAACGGGTCTACACTTACACACTCACTCAGGCTGTGGAGGTGAGGTGAGGTGAAATTGGGTTTAACGTCGCGTCCAAGATTATTGCACTTACATGTGTATATAGCGACGTGCATGTACGTGTGTTTTGGGGGAGGGGGGGGGGGGGGGATGCTTGTACTAGTCTCCGGACTGATGCCGATTTATAGTGCTAGCACTCTGAGATACCATGCCGCAGTTTAACATGAATACCCCACTCAGACACAGTATACTGACTCCGAGCTGACCAGTCCTTGTTTCAGCCCCTTAATGCCGAGCGCCAGACAGGGTAACAACAAGTACCATCTTTTAACGTCTTTTGGTATGACGCGGCCGGGGATCGAACCCTTGACCTTCCGCTCTCCGGGCCGACGCTCTACCACTAGACCACGGAGGCGGTCCAGGCTGTGGAATATTATGGACTGACATTTCGGGGGTTAAAGAGCTTGACCTGAAATGTTTCTCTTGTAGAAAAGGCTGGGAAAATATTATTTCCCCCGGATATTCGCTGGACATGCCGAATGTCCTTATAAGTATTTGTTGTGAAAGAAACAAAATTGGCGTCCCCCCTCCAGAGAAAGCAGTACCCGAGAACATGTCCTACATGACAAAAATCAAGTAATTACAGTTATTTGATTTACAATATCAACAGCAGACTTGTAAATATAAATCACAGGCTTTACATGACAAAAACGAAACCTATTGCGCGACAAGCAATAAATCAATATTCCCATGTACCGCGCTAACAAAAAACGATCAAATTGTTTCGTTGTTACAGAAGATACTTCAACACGTGTCAACTTGTCATTTCTCAAGCAGCAGATAACAGAGGTCGCGGTAAGTGACTCTCAGTACACAGTGACAGTTTCAAGGCAGGACTAGTTTTAACTTTAAAAACATGACTGTAATGATGTAAGCTGATATCATGATTTAACATGAATTAATGCTCTGCTGGCGTTAAATCTTATGATGGATTTAAATTGTTACTTGCAGTTCGGATCATGATCGCATATGATATATAATCATTCTTAGGGCTACTGTATGGAATACTGTAAGGGACATTCTCGCGATCTCGACCTTTGGAAACGAGGTAAATATGCCCCAAACACGAAATGTTCTCGCGATCTCGCATTCTCGTGTTTTGGGCATATTTACCTCGTTTCCAAAGGTCAAGATCCCGAGAATGCGAGATCGCGAGAATGTCCCTTACAGTATTCCATACTACTGTTCTGTACATTTGATGTAAGTGATTCACGATCATCTTTCTTAATGTTGCTTAGGGGGCACTGGCGCTGCGATTCGCTGAGAAGAGTTGCGTCCCTTGGGCACGCCCCGATAATGTATCTAGATTTGTCAGCACCATACCCGTGCTCGTTGGTTTCAACGAAGTGGTAAACGTCGTAGACCTGCATTACTTCAGGCATTCTCACATTAAGCTGACACGCCATGATATAACTGGAATACTGTTAAAAGCGGCATTAAACCCAACTCACTCACTCACACACAATTGTTGCTTAAATATGACGCCGAATGTTGGTTGGTAGGTTTGTTGTTTTACGCCGCACTCAGCAATATTCCAGTTATATGACGGCTGTCTGTAAATAATCGAGTCTGAACCAGACAATCCAGTGATTGATATCATGAACATCGATCCACGCAATTTGGATCGATGACATGCATCAACCAAGTCAGCGAGCCTGACCACCCGATCCAATTAGTCGCCTTTTACGACTAGCATAGTCGCCTTTTACGGCAGGCATGGGTTGCTGAAGACCTATTCTAACCCGGATCTTCACGGGTATTCAGGAACTGTAGTGATCATATTGGGTCTGCTAACATGGTTCTTCCTCATGTCTTGTATAATGGTATCAACAAAAGCGCGATTGTTTAGCCTGAAGATATCGTCATATGTTCTGAGGTCATTTTTTTAAATCTGAATTTAAATTCGTTTGTTGCCGTCATTGTTAAGTTGAAACTACACGTAACGTATAAGCATCAACTTCGGCTGACTTTGTGTCCGCAGGATGACGTCATCGTTAGTTCCGTGGGATCAAATCTGGACATGCTGACTGGACAACTTTCCAGATGTGTTTTGGAGGCTGCAGGGAAGGAGATAGGGGAAGAGTGTAGGAAAAAATGTCCAACAGGATTAAATGTTGGTGGGATGGTTGTGACATCTGGAGGTAGGCTAAAGTGTAAGGCAATATACCACTGTTGCCTGCCCCCCTGGAGCAACAAGCAGCTTAGTCCAGAAGATGTAAGGCTGATTTTATACATGTTTTTGTTTAAGTTTTTTGTTAGTTTGTTTATTATTAAACGCCGCACTCAACATTATTCCAGCTATATGACGGCGGTCTGTAAATAATCGAGTCTGGAACAGAAACCCAACTCACTCACTTACATACTATTGTTGCTTAAATATGACGCAGAATGTTGGTTGGTAGGTTTGTTGTTTTACGCCGCACTCAGCAATATTCCAGTTATATGACGGCGGTCTGTAAATAATCGAGTCTGAAACAGACAATCCAGTGATTGACAGCATGAGCATCGATCCACGCAATCGGGGTCGATGACATGCATCAACCAAGTCTGCGAGCCTGACCACCCGATTAGTCGCCGACAAGCATAGTCGCATTTTACGGCAAGCATGGGTTGCTGAAGACCTATTTTACCCCGTGATCTTCATGTGTTTAAGTAGTATATCCTTTAATGCGTATCAAATTAAATATACCCCTGAAAACAGTTGATTATTTTGTGATTAATTCTTTCTGGCAATAATAGAAACAAGGTGATCTTGTTCTCTCTGCTTACCATGACGTAGATCAGTACTGTTTAAGTCACATCTTTATACCGTGACAGTATCCAATGTTTTTGTTTTGTAAGGTGTTAAAACAAGTAGTCAGCTCTTGCATCACCACCGCTTCGACTGAAGGATACAAATCCATTGCCTTTCCTGCCCTTGGATCTGGTAATCTTGGCTATCCTAAGTACGTGACAGTAGCATCCATTGTTGATACTGTTCGGGAGTTTTGCGATGTCCCCCTTTCCCTAGCGGACGTGCATGTCGTCGGTCTCCAGGAAGACCTAGACTTTGAAAAGGTAGGTACAGTGTTTGAACTACCGACTTGCCTTTGCATGTGTTTGTGATGGGTGCCACCGGTTGAGCAGGATGCGCTTCATACAAAGGACTCTGTTTTAGCACATATTTCTTAAGATTGTGTAAAAGGTTTTGTCGCTTTTATTGTAAAATGATATTGTAGTATTCCTAATATTACTAATGTAGAATTCCTTATGATGTATATCAAGAGACAAGACTCTTTCCTGTCTGTTGTCTTGGGTACAATTCCGAGTTTATTATAGGTATCTGTTAAGGAATCAATATAAAATAGTAATGAAACGAGGTGTTTTGGTTTCTTGCCTCATTGGTGGTATCCGTCGCAAGCACATGCAAACACAAGTTAAGTGAATTGGTTGGTTGGTTGGTTGTTTAACTCAGCAATATTCTAGCTATATGACGGCGGTCTGTAAATAATCGAGTCTTGGCCAGACGATCCAGTGATTAATATCATGAACATCGATCTACACAATGTGGTATCGATGACATGCATCAACCAAGTCAGCGAGCCTGACCACCCGATCCGATTAGTCGCCTCTTACGACAAGCATTGTCGCCTTTTACGGCAAGCATGGGTTGCTGAAGACCTATTCTACCCCGGATCTTCACGGATCGAACACCTAAACAAACACGGGAATATGATTATAGTATAATAAAGCGACAAAACCCTTTCCATATCCAATAGAAATCTCTGCATACTGCAGAGTCGATTGTACAATTCCGACTATATAATGAGCATGTGTTTATGAACCAAATAGTAATGATACCAGGTGTTCGCGAAAAGGTGAGCGTATCCTGCCCCACCGGTGGCACCCGTCACAAACACATGCAAAGGCAAGTCAATTGTTCACCTGAAACAAACATGGGAACATATGGTACTAGTCAAAATAGGGAATTGCATCGGACAGTTTTGTCGCTGATGCGTCTAATGTGGAAATGTCCTCCACATGTATACCACAAAACCTTTTGAAAACTTTACTGAGGCCTTGAATGTTGCAACCTTCATAAAAAAACCAACTTCTGAGAAAGAGTCGTATGACGCTCTTTATAATCTTAAGTCAAAATAAGGATTGCATTTGACATCATATTCGTCACAGATGCGCCAAATGTGGAAATGTCATCCACATGTCTACCACAAAACTCTTAGCCTAAAGTCCTGTTACCCTCATTAAATAACGTTTTAGGAAGACTCGTGTGATTTGGTTAATCATCGATATACCTGAAGCTTAAGTTCCCCTGTTTTGATTTTGCAAATCCAAGCAGAATTTCCAATTGGTGCCAAGGGGGATGCTTACTTCTTCCCTTAATGTCTTAAGCCTAAATTCCACATAAATGTTATGTGTAAAGTCAAGCATTTCACATAATGTATTCACAGAGAACCTCAGATGACATTTACTAGACTGTTCTGAACCCTCAAAGACAGACATGTAAATATCGTAAATGGAACAAGAACTGTGATTCGTATGACGTTCAATAAAAAAAAAAATATTCTGAAATCAAATCATGCACCTTTCAATTTATGAGTGAGTGAATATGATTTTACGCCGCTTTTAGCAATTGTCCAGCAGAATCACGGAACACCAGAAATGGGCTTCGCACACTGTACCCATGTCGGGAATCGAACTCGGGTCTTCGGCGTGACGAGCGAACGCTTTAACCTCTAGGCTACCCGACCGCCCCTTCAATTTAAGAAGACATCTAATCGACTTCACGGCCGTTATTCGCATTTTGCATGGTCATGTTAATTTAAACGTTTGCGTGTTTGTTGGGAGCATGATATTCGCACATATTGTTGAATGAGTGTGACAAGCACAGAATGTTTGTTTAGTTGTCAGATGTTCATAAAACACCTTTGTTTGACCGTAAATTACGACACGGCTTGCTGAAAATCAACGTCCAGGCTGCCAACAGGAATGGCTCAAAACACAAATATATCATCTCTCTTGAGAGGTTATCTACAGCAGGACGACAATCATCACGACTTACCATGGGCCGGTCGTCCAGGTGGGACGTCGCGTCAACAAAAAATTTTTTCGAATCTACACGAAGCTGCCTCATCCTGGGTTGACCAGTTAGTGTCAGAACCCTTCGCACCCGGTTTAGGGAGCTCTTTATCAGGTCCCGACGTCCAGCAATACGCCAAACACGCCAAACACTGCCAGGCACGCCTAGCTTTGCGTAGACGCCATCAGAGGTTCAGCAGACATGACTAGAACAGTATGCTGTTCACAGATGACTCCAGGTTTCATCTGGACATCTCTGATTGCCGTGCAAGTGTCTGCAGGCGTTCAGGAGAACGTTTTTACTCAGCGTCGTCAGTTTGGGGTTGGAAGTATAAGGATATCGGATGGCATCTCATCTCATGGGAAAACAGAACTCATCATTGACGCTATAATTAACTTATTCATGGCAATGTGAATGGGGTACTCTTCCGGGACGACATCGTTCGAGATCATATTCTACTCTTCGTGCAAATGCAGGGACGTCACGTGCGTTGCAGCAAGATAATGCACGCCCACATGTTGCAGATTTTTTTTAGGCAGCATACTGCCAACACCGGCTGTTTCTCCATACCCCATTCCCATAGAACAAGTCTGGGATGAGATGGGTCGACGCCTACAACAGGATCACAACCAGCCGATAACGCTTGCCCAGTTAGTCCAATCTTTGGTTGACATTTCGAACAACATCCCAAGCATCTTTTCATTCATCTTCTCTGCCTCGCCTGTATCATTGCAAATGGTGGTCACGTCATGGTTAACATGCTAGTCTTTATGTGGCATTATTTCATTCGTCCTTCATACAAAGTTCTTAAGTTACAAAAGTAATATAGTGGTGTTTATAATGGGTATGTTATTTGAGGTGTGTCGGAACCTTTTTTTCAAACCCTTCTTTCGTCATTTTTATGTTTGATTTGTCTCCTCCACTAAGACCATTATTGACCATCTACAGGAGTGTATTTTACCATTTCAGGCTTATAAACGGTACCAACACAAGGTAACGGCGTCTGAAGATAAGAGCTCAGGTAATTCATAGTATTTGAAATAAAAGTCTGAAAACGTTTTCCAATAACAGTCCAACGTATTTAATAATATATAGATTCCATTTTATGACAGTTCACATTTATTTGGCCATTACTAATTCTGTCTCCATAGAAACCATTACGATTGGCAAACTGCGCCTCGTCCTTCTCGAAGGGGAGATAACTGACGATTGTTCGGATGTCATCGTTCATCCCACAACAAAACAACTGTCTTTTGATTCAGGTAGGACAATCACTCACAGCTCAATAAGATTGCTATGATACAGGTTCAAATTGTACCTGACGACCCAAATGTCAGATTCATCAAGTCTTGGAAATATTCCCATTAATGTCCCGAGAGGTAGTACCTGTGTTTTCTGTCTCACGTGTTGTGCTAGACTAAAATTTGACTTACTTTTACATCAACATTTTCAAACTTCACACTTAAGACTTCAGGTCACAGGTATAGATATAATTTCTTGACTGATTATTATCTTTTTCCATATGAACACGCCTACCACATCTAAAATTGTGTTACACACTTAAGACTTCAGGTCACAGGTGTAGATATAATTTCTTGACTGATTATTATCTTTTTCCATATCAACACGCCTACCACATCTAAAATTGTGTTATCAATATAAGTGTACAAATGTCTTTGTTCTATTCAGGTGACGTTTCAGCAACTTTGAGAATAAAATGTGGCAATGGTTTTGTTGAAGAATGTCAAGCTGAAGGTACATTTGAACAATGTTAATAGTTTATTACCCAGATTATGAGAGGAGAATGTTTCTGTGATTACTCATGAAGGTGACAATTACCCATTTTACAAACAAATCTTCATGCTAATAGTTTAACATAATCTAGATTTCTTTTAAATAGATAAATATGACAAATCCTTTTCCTTAATCTAAAAGCAAAGTAGGTTACTTGTACACGAAATGAGTGAGTGAGTGAGTATGGTTTTACGCCGCTTTTAGCAATATTCCAGCAATATCACGGCGGGGCACACCCGAAATGGGCTTCACACATTGTACCCATGTCGGGAATCGAACCCGGGTCTTCGGCGTGACGAGCGAACGCTTTAACCACTAGGCTACCCGACCGCCCCTACACGAAATGAAGAAGGGGGAGTGTATCATGCCCCACCCGTCACAAACACATACATAGGCAAAACAAACCAACAACAAAAAAACAGTTGGCACCAGTCTCATCTGTCCTGATACTAAAATTTTCATTGGGAAATAATAACAGTTCTTGGAACAAATCTCACCTTCAGTTTACCTGGAAACGCAAAACAGATCATGAATAGCGAAAGTGTCTGTTCATCTATTGTCTGGTGTTGTGTATTCGGCTTGGCTTGGTTTGTTGTTTAACGCAGCCCACAGCAATATTCCAGCTATATGACGGCGGTCCGTAAATAATCGAGTCTGGACCAGACAATCCAGTGATTTATATCATGATCATCGATCCGCGCAATTGGGATCGATGGCATGCTTCAACCAAGTCAGCGAGCCTGACCACCCGATCCCGTTAGTCGCCTTTTACGACACGCATAGTCACCTTTTACGGCAAGCATGGGTTGCCGAAGACCTATTCTACCCCGGAATCTTCACGGGTTGTGTATTCAGAGTATCACGAAGCAATCTTGAACAGATTGTGATTTATAATAGGAAATACAAAACATTAAGGAAAGACTGAACGAAGCCGTTTCTTTATTCTTGACTCAACTGCCTTTAAAAAGTACAGAATAACCATGTCACTAAGTATGACGTTTTCAGCAAGGGACATGAAGGAGAAGGGCTTGTTCCTGTCCGGGGCTCCAGGTTTACTGTGCACAAACATCCTGCACACTGCCCCGAAACATTTTGGAAGCTGGAAGAAAACTGTGAAGAAGTGCATCAAACACGTGGATGCGACAGACGAATACACGTCTATTGCCTTCCCTGCTGTTCCAGCTGGTATGTTGGTTAAACACATTACGGCAATTAAGTCGCCTTTGTCATTATTAACAGAAAGTGCAGAGAAAGCAAATAAAACAGAAGTGACCAGACAATCCAGTGATTGACATCATGAGCATCGATCAACGCAATTGGGATCGATGACATGCATCAACCAAGTCAGCGAGCCTGACCACCCGATCCCGTTAGTCGCCTTTTACGACAAGCATAGTCGCCTTTTACGGCAGTGAGTGAGTGAGTGAGTGAGTGAGTGAGTGAGTGAGTGAAAATTCGGGAATATTTCAGCCATATCGTCACGATGAATCTTAAGTAAAGATAAAGTAAAAATAAACAATGCTTAATAACTCACATGTGTATAATAGTATGGAGGAAACAAAAGAATGTATTATGGATCTTTTTCAACAATAATCAACTTTAGTTTGTTCACATTTACAACTAAGTAATAATCTGGTGATTGAGGTCTACTTTCGGCCTGCAGAAGAAGAAAATCCAACACGTTTATGCCATAGACGCATTTATTTTCATAGTAATCGAGTGGACAGACTACACGAGGCAGATTTGTTGAACATAAAGATACGATTTGCAGTCATTGCAGAACCTAAATATTCCTATGCAGTCTACACATTATATTCAACAGATACGTTCCCGGGTTCTCCTGGAGATGCCTACAAGAAGGCAGCCTGGGAAATGGTTGCAGCAGTAACGACCTTGCAAACAACAACTGTGACCACGATCCGAGTCTTCTGCCCCAACCAGTCCCTTTTAGCGACGTACACAGAGGCAGTGCTGAGGGCTATACCCGACCTCTGTACTAAGGCAGGTGTGTAAAACGGGAAGTGCCGAGTGGATGTTTGTAATAGTGGGTGCGCTCAACAATAGTAAATCGGAAATAACTCGATTGGTTTGTTGTTTAACGCCGCACTCAGCAATAGTCCAGCTATATGACAGCGGTCTGTAAATAATCGAGTCTGGACCAGACAATCAAGTGATTAATATCATGAACATCGATCAACGCAATTGGGATCGATGACATGCGTCAACAAAGTCAGCGAGCCTGACCATCCGATCCCGTTAGTCGCCTCTAACGACAAGCATAGTCGCCTTTTACGGCACGCATGGGTTGCTGAAGACCTATTCTACCCCGGAATCTTCACGGATCTTATAGATAGGTAGCATACATGTTTATTTACTGACCAAAAGCGAGTTCCTCTGGCCTGTCTTTACATGTGCTGAATGTAGCTATCCCTCAGTAAAACCTACCTGTATGTCACAGCAAAACATCCAACAAACCCTTGTAATCATTTGTTTTTCACCTTTCGTTTGTATCATGTTCCGTTCACAGGAAGACTGAAGTCTCGTATAAAGGCACTTAAGAGGACACCCTTCACGACAAAGGTTCCAACGGAAGACGGTGTGCTTGAAACACCAAGCAGTAGTGTATTGAAAACGGTAAATCGAACATTATTAATAGTGGCGGTTAGATTAACAAGTGGTTAAAGCGTTGGTTCGTCACGCCGAAGACTCGCACGCAAAGTAAAGGATAAACCACGATACCCAGCGCTTGGTTGAGAATGTAAACGCAAGGGTGTACCAAACGCACAAGAGATTGTTCCTACTCAATGTGTTTATATTCTCAACAAGCCCGTGGAAGAGTGTCTTATCCCACTTAAAAACCGCCTTAGTGCTAGAAATACCAGACAAAAACATCCCTATACCTTTGGTTTGATTTGTTTGTTGTTTAACGCTGCACTCAGCAATATTCCAGCTATATGACGGCGGTGGAAACAATAGCGTAGCGGTATAATCGAATCTGATGACAGCGGGCAGAGAAAGATGACGTGCAACATGCAGACAACTGAAGTCATCACGTGTGATGTTGAACACCCTTTCAACAACGAGTGTTTACATTTTTGACTGAAGATATCGGCTGGTCAGGCACGCTGACTTGGTTGATTCATGTCATCGGTCCCAATTGCGCGGATCGATGCTCTTGATATTAATCACTGGATTTTCTGGTCCAGACTCGATTATTTACAGACCGCCGTCATATAGCTGGAGTATTGCTGAGTGCGGCGTAAAACCACAAACCAAACCAAACCAAATCAGATCATGTTTGAGTATTTATTAAAGTGTTTGAAAATGTGATAACATGTTTGGGTATGTAATAAATTGTTTCCGTATGTAATATGTCTCAATATAAAATTACACGTTTGAATATGAAATTACACATTTTTGCGTGAAATAACGTGTTTAATTTCAATACATAACAACTTACTTTAATCTGCAGATGCCTGCAACAGAACACCGTAGTAGGAACGAGTCTGCAGCGTTAGTCACAGTGTTCTGCCAGGAAAATAAGTGTGACGTCATCTTTAAAAAACTGTCAGACAGATGTGATGAAGACTACTCCAGGATAGTCGCGGACCAGAGAACACTGAAGCTGAAGTCTTCACAGGTAATACGTGTGCAGTAAAACCATGTAAGGAATGGTCCGCGGTGTAATCTTCCAGGGCCCCTTTCCACCAGGCGAGGGGGCACGGGTGGCCTAGTCGTCTAAGGCGCCGCGATTCGCTGTGCAGAGTTGCGTCCCTTGGGCACGCCAGAAACCTATGATTGTGGGTTCGAATCTCGGTTCGCCCCGATTATGTTTCTAGGTTTGTCAGCACCATACCCGTGCTCGTTGGTTTCAGCGAAGTGGTAAACGTCTGAGACCTGCATCACTTCGGGCTTTCCTTATACATTAAGCTGACACACCGCGATATAACTGGAATACTGTTAAAAGCGGCGTTTAACCGAACTCACTCACACTCCACTTAGCGATCTTAGCGACTTTGTTATAGTAAGGGAGCTACAATGGTCTTAGCGCAACTACCGCTTTATGGAACGGGGCCCTGATTCCTAGATTGACAAATAATGGGTACTAAATGTCCCATTAATTGTATGCAATTCTTCCTACTATACATCACCAGGATGTTGAGGCTATTCCTGACTAGTGTAGATCCACTTTTTAAATTTTAAAGCAATTAAAATACGATATTGAAGTCGGGTAGGCTGAATTGTGAGGTGTCGTACACCATCAAGCTTCAAAGTGTGATATACGGAAACAAAATTAAGATCAGAGCAAAGCACACAACTTTCCTTGCATTTCCTATCGATGTCCTGACCTGCAAGCAATACTCTCCCTTTCTTATCAACCTCAGACTGAAGACCTATTGGTGGTTGCAAAGAAAGAGGGGGTGGCTGTCGACATTGTAGAAGACAGTGGAACGGTAATTCTGAAGGGTCCATACAACGGTCTTACCAAAGTGAGTCACCATCTGGATGAGATGCTACAAACAGTTGCTGAGTTTGGTTTTGTGGGTGAGTGTAATCCATTTAGTTAAATGTCAGTTCTACCTCGGGTTGTTATCTCGGAGTTTTCCTTACTGTAGACGGATTGTATAAAGTATATTGGCTTGATATCTCTAAGATACATTTTAGAAGAAATAATTAAGACAGGCTTGACATGGATTTAAGCTTCTAGTCTTTCAATGCTATGTCTCGGTGCAGGTGCTTGTGAGGTGAGGTGAGGTGAAATGGGGTATAAAGTCGCGTCCAAGATTATTGCACTTATATAGCGACGTGCATGCAAGTGTATGTATGTGTGTGGCTGCTTGTACTAGGCCGGACTGATGCCGATTTATAGTGCTAGCACACTGATATACCATGCCCCACTCAGACACAGTATACTGACTCCGAGCCGACCAGTTCTTGTTTTAGCCCCTTAATGCCGAGCGCCAGACAGGGTAACAACAAGTACCATCTTTTAACGTCTTTTGGTATGACACTGTCGGGGATCGAACCCCGGACCTTCCGCTCTCCGGTCGGACGATCTACCATTAGACCACGGATGCGGTCTGCAGGTGCTTGTTCCTTCATGAAGTGAGTGAGTACGGTTTTACGCCGTTTTTAGCAATATTCCAGCAATATTACGGCGGGGTACACCCGCAATGGGCTTCACACATTGTACCCGTGTCGAGAATCGGAAAGTCTGTCTTGATCTTATTTTCTCGGTAGATGTTCTTGAAATCTTCGGACAAGGACGGGTCATTAATTCATTACTTAAAACATTTCAATTGATCCGGGATAGAATAGGTCTTCAGCAAACCATGCTTGTCGTAAGAGGCAACTTACCGGATCGGGTTGTCAGGCTCGCTGACTTGGTTGATGCATGTCATCGATTCCAATTGCGTGGATCGATGCTCATGATATCAATCACTGAACTGTCTGGTCGAGACTCGATTATTTACAGACCGCTGTCATATAGCTTGAATAATGCTGAGTGCGGCGTTAAACAACAAACAAACAAACCCAATTGCGTGGATCGATACTCATGATGGCAATCACTGGATTGTCTGGTCCAGACTCGATTATTTACATACTGCCTTCATAAAGATTGAGTGCGGCGTTAAACAACAAACAACAACAACATTTCAATCGAAGAATGAAGCATCAACATGCCATGTTCACCTGCAGCTGTTCTGTTTCCTGACGTGAATATTTGTGTTTGTCTGTCTAGCCTATCCAATTTGCTGGGAAGGAGTAGACACTGACCAGAGGGTGTTCTGCGTGGCTGAAGGAAGCAGAGAATACATATGTGTGAAGAACAATTTGATGAAGTCTTTTGGAGACAAGGCAAAACGTGTAACCATCCTTAAGGTAAACGCTGTTGACATCCGAAATAAGATTACCTAGCTGTAAGTCTAAATGAACTCATTTAAGCATTACTTTTCAAGATGCATTAAAAATTGATGGAGACATTATCCAAGGTCCTGGACATTGTCATTCACATGTACAGAGACTTGCACACAAATATATCAATTAATATCCCACTGACCAATATCAGTAGACCCGTGATGATCCGGGGAAGAATAGGTATTCAGCAATCCTGCTTGCCGTAAAAGGCGACTATGCTTGTCGCAAGAGGCGACTAACGGGATCGGGTGGTCAAGGCTCGCTGACTTGGTTGATGCATGTCATCGTATCCGAATTGCGTGGATCGATGCTTATGATATCAATCACTGGACTGTCTGCTCCAGACTCGATTATTTTCAGACCGCCATCATATAGCTGAAATATTGCTCAGTGCAGCGTTGAACAAACAAACAAAAGCATATCAGTGTCTTCTCTTTTCATCTCAGATCGAAAGGATTCAGCTTCCGCACTTGTACAGGCAGTTTCAGATCGAGAGACAGACTGTGCAGAAGGAACACCCCTCTCAAGATAATCAACGCATCCTTTGGCACGGAACCGACATCGAAGCGGTTCCCAATATCAACAAATACGGCTTTAATAGGTCTTACAGTGGAAAGCACGGTTAGTTGACTATCGGATTAACCTGTTAACTAAATGAGACCAGTGGTAGTTTGTTTGTGCCGCACTCAGCAATATTCCAGCTATACGACGGCGGTCTGTAAATAATCGAGTCTGGACCACACAATCCAGTGATGACATCATGAGCATCGATCCACGGAATTGGGTTGGTTGGTTGGTTTGTTGTGTAGTCTAGATATATACACAACAGCATGTTGTATTATGCAGCGGGGGAGAAACGGGAATATTATATATGGCCTAAAAGGGATTCAAAACGTCAGCGTCTGAGAATAACCATTTATTTATTTGTCATGGGGTGAAAAAGGTAAAATAGTGATTAAAACTATTTGAATGGATCAGTAAAAATCAGTGATGACAGGTGTTAGCAAGAATTTAACATTTTGAGTTGTATTCCAAAGGCGCCTCAAAACTGTTTTATGATGTGCCTTTTATGCGTAAGAGAATCTATATGCACCCACCATCTATCATCGTGGCTTCCAACCCAGATTCTAGATCTCAATCTCTTCGGGCTTTCCTCCGCCAAATCGCCGTAATATAACTGAAATACTGTTTAAAGCCGTCTTAAACCAACTCACTCCCACACTCAAACGAGGCAGGCGTGGCAGAAACCAGTGGTCATGGCTTTGATTCAGGGTTTGTTGTTTTACGCCGCAGTCAGATTTAAATTATTGAGTTTGTCCCAAGCAAACCTGTGGATGATATTATGAGCAACATCTTCGCCGTCGGTATACGATGAAAGAATTAACCCAGTCACCGATCCTGACCACCCGGTGGAAGGGAGCAATGATTTTAATATGGTTTGTATGGCTTACGTATATGTGTTTTGGTTCAAACAGTAGAAACGGAGGGGACATGATAGCGAGGGCACGGGTGGCCCAGTGGTCTAAGGCGCCGCGATTCGCTGTGCAGAGTTGCGTCCCGTGGGCACCCAAGAAACCTTTTATTGTGGGTTCGAATCCCGATTATGTTTCTAGGTTTGTCAGCACCATACCCGTGCTGGTGGGTTTCACCAAAGTGGTAAACGCCTTACGACATCCATCGCTTCAGGCTTGTCTCCCACCTGAGGCTGAAATACTGCTCACAGCAGTGTTAAGCCAAACGACCTATGTCACCACATGATTCCATTCTTTTTCAATTTTCTGATTTTAGCTTCTCAGTACGGACAAGGTGTGTACTTCGCCACGAGTGCCATCTACTCTTCTGACGACAAGTACTCTCCGCCAGACACCTACGGAATCAAATACATCTACCAAGCTCGGGTCCTGACAGGCAGATACACCAAGGGGGAAGCCACCATGAGGGACGCTCCCCTTGTTAACCCCACGAAATCTGTCAGGTTTAACTCCACCACTGACAACGCTTCACGGCCATCGCTGTTCAGCATCTTCCGGGACACATATTCCTACCCTGAATATCTCATCTCTTTCCAACTGTCAGTGTAGCAAGAATCATAAATCAGAACTCAGGACAGTCAGAAGTACCAATGGTTCTCTACAGAACTCTTAATACCACTCAACTCTTCATTGGAACATTCCCATTATGTAATAACAGTGAGTGAGTTGGGTTTACGACGCTTTTAACAGTATTCCAGTTATATCACGGCGTGTCAGCTTAATGTGGGGGAAAAGCCCGAAGTGATGCAGATCTCAGGCGCTTACCACTTCGGTGAAACCCACGAGCACAGGTATGGTGCTGACAAACCTAGGAACATAATCGAGGCGAACCGGGATTCGAACCCACAATCATAGGTTTCTGGCGTGCCCAATGGACGCAACTCTGCACAGCAAAACACTGGTTACTTCCATGTCTCAATATCCCAATTATAACTGTATACAGGGGACTTCTCCGCTCACTAAGTTATCAAAGTATAACATTGCTCAGGTGAATGTTCTTTGTGGGCAACCTATCGAACATAGACTTGAGAACCCCTAGAGCCCTTGTCACATTTTTTATTTTCCACGTTAATATCCAAGTCTTTCAAAACCAACAGTATCTCCATGGTGATGCTGTCATCATGACCATCATCTGCTTATACTTGATCATTACTACCAACCCTTTATACGGATGTGTCAGCAATATGTGTTCGCTTTAGTCACGATCATGCGTTTCTTCAAGGATCATCATGTACATGTAAATGTCACATCTTAATGGTTGTTTTCAGTTATATTCAAATCCATACTATATATACTTAGTCTATATGTTACCAATACGACCAGTGTAGAACACTATCATTTCATGTCAAGATAGACCCTCCGAGTTCAAGAGAACTCATTGTTTATTGAAATCAATGCTTAAGATTGGTCCATCATACTCAAGATATTCACCATGACATATACAGTGCTCTAGCTCAGTATAGGCTAATACAATACGATGTAGCACCAGCCCTTGATGTCAGAAAATAGAAAGGAAGTTTGGGGAACTGTACATGTTGTGCTGCAGAGACTATAATAGTCCAGGGCACAAGTGTATTATCACACAACACGTTCGGTAATCTGTGTCTCAACTGCATTTTAACAAGTGTCAGAAGACCAATGGTCCGTTTAAACAATGAGTGTTAAATTGCTAATTTGAACCCTCTGAATTTGCTACCTCATGAGATATACAGCATCAACCACGATCAGAGCAATGTCAGAGGTGTTCAAATGCTTTACTTCCGAAGTTCATTACTGAGAGACAACACACGTTGTTGTTGTTGTTGTTGATGATGAATTATTGTGCACCTTCCTGGCGCTGTTGAACAATGCATAGTAACTCAGACGTTCCGAAGTTGACTTGAAATGCCATTGTCTATTTATACTGAATAAATCCCAAATGGTATTCTTTTCGTGTTTCAAAATCATAGGAGGAAGACATATATGATGTTGGGAACGAACTTCTGTCTGTTTATCCAAGTTGAGTTAATGTTTCCACTTAAATTCAAACATCAATGTCAGAGAGAATAATCAGTCTCGAATATAGGGCGTAAAAGGCACATAGTGCCATAATGTTTGTCAAAAAAGTAAGCGCCAACGAGTAATGTGTGAACATTCCATATCAAGCTCTTAGAATGGGATGGCATTGGACACCATGTTAACATACGACGTGTCATATTTAGTAAATCCCTCTGAATGTCTAATATAAAATTTCTGGAATTACGCAACAAGCAGTTTGAAACCTATATTGAAATTATTAGCTGTAAATAAAATGTGTAATTCCGTTCACAGTATTTATCTCATGTGTACATTTATCTTTAAATACCTAACACATTTGAAAAGGTAACATCGAACCTTTCTTGTGGCTGATGTTAACTACATGTTGCTTTATCATTTGGTGTCGCATCAGTGACCAAAATTATGCCCGATGCAATTCCCTATTTTGACCTGAACCACACGTTCCCGTGTACCATATTTTTAAGTGTACATTTGACTTGCGTTTGCATGTGTTTGTGATGGATAATAATAATAGGACGGCTGGGCAGGATATGTCCACCTTTTCGCAAGCACCTAGTATCATCACTATTTGATAGTGATCCATAAACACATGCTTATGAATGAGTCAGAATCTTAAAGTGGATTTCTTATGATTATGGAAAGGTTTTTGTCACTTTTATATTTAGTATGTTTCTGGGGGCACAGGTGACCCAGTCGTCTAAGGCGCCGCGATTCGCTGTGCAGAGTTGCGTCTCTTGGGCACGCCAGAAACCTATGATTGTGGGTCCGAATCCCGGTTCGTCCCAATTATTTTTCTAGGTTTGTCAGCACCATACCCGTGTTCGTGGGTTTCACCGAAGTGGTAAACGTCTGAAACCTGCACCACTTCGGGCTTTCCTCCCACATTAAGCTGACACGCCGTGATATGACTGGAATACTGTTAAAAGCGGCGTTAAACCCAACTCACTAGTATGTTTCCATGTCCCAATCTTCATTGATATAGTTCTAAACACCAGAATATAGTCAGTCTTCAACATCTGCCGAAACAGATTCCATTGGTGGAAAAAGGTAAGATAGCGATGAAAATCAGTAGAGCCATCAGCAAGAGCTGGTTGTATATTCCGGGAAAAGAAGGGGAAATTCGACATTATCCCTTTGTCGTAGAGCTTGCTACATTAGCTGTCGTCATTTCAATTTCTAATACAGACCAACATATTTCACTGAAAACGGTTTCTCACTTAGTTTCTTTGGATATTCGTGTAGCTTTTAGCACGGGTAGGCCTACTGTGCTAAGTGGAAAAATGTTCATTAATGTTGGCACTTTTCAAAAATATATGGTCATCTGTTATCTAAAACTGAGTCCGAACGTCTCCTTTCTTCGATTTCTACGCAATATGCTGTTATGCATCAACTAAGTCAATGAGCCTGATCACACGATCTAACAAGCATGGCTTGCTGAAGACCACTTCTAATCCGGATCGTCACGGTAGAGGCACGCTTGGTACCATGGAACATTGGTACTCTGTACACATCAAAGTAGCATTCCTATACTAACTTTCCAGATATTTCTTCACGCACTCAACCACTACCAACTCGTAAGTTTTTGTTTCGTTTAATATCACGGAATATATACATCACACAAAGGTAATACATTGATACAGATACTAACATAGCCCAATAAAGCTGACAAACTGACAAAGATATAGAGGTTATCACGCGAGTGTGTTTGGGGATGGTAAATATCCTGCATTAGGAATAAACATTGTATTTAGAAAGCCTTGGCTATTTACCATCCTAAAACACACAGGCGTGATAACCTCTTTATCATATAATGTCATTCTTTAATTCTGTGCTTCAAATCGCTTTCCCTCTCTCACAAACATTACCGAAACATTGCGAGTTTTCCTGGAATGCGCGCATTGATATTTATTACGTCACAAGGTAAGTGATGTGTCAGTCGGACAGTGACAGTTGCCAATATAGTTCCAACTGAAATCTGTTTCTTATACATTGGCGAAACAACATATACGCAAAACAACAATTGTTATTAATTGCCTTTCGCGGCAATCCATCGGTCTGTCCGCCAGAGTAACTGCGTTTTGTCAAAGGGAAGCTACTCTAACCCTAGTCACGGCCACGGTCAGACGTTGTTGACAGTCAGTCTGTCCTGTCATAACGTTAAGAAGTGTAGTCAGATGTACACACAGCGACAAAACGAAACAAGGTAACAATTCAAGCACATTTCGGCCAAATCCAACTATTTTAATTTGTGGAGAAGGTTTCAAGCCACAGAGGTCTACAAGCACATATGGCTACTGATCCCGCTTGGCTAGGCCTAGTGCCCTCGCAAAATTGTTCCGAAACTTATATCTCCAAAGTTGCCAAAACTTATAAAATGCCTTAGCTACGTCACAGTTAGACACTGATTTTCAGTATATTAGACTGTTCTTTTGATAATAATAGCAAGTATCCGTGTAGTTTATCCAGATTCCCCGATGGTTAATTCTGACTCGATCGCCGAATGACGAGGGCGACGCCATGTTTGTTTATAAACAGTGAAAGTAGTCCCTACTTGACCTTTGATATTTGCATCTCTATCCGCATATAACCCCAACGGATATCGTTTTTATCCGTTGGCTTTATCCTGCCGAGAAACCTACCCATTATATGATAAAAAATATATCATATACATGATATTAGGACGTGATGTTGCATTGAAAATAGGAGATTGGCATAAATTGGCATAAATTGTTGGTAACAGATGCTAACAAACCACGTGCAACTAGTTATTAACCACAGGGGCACGGATAAAGGTAAGCCTATTTCAAGTAACTCTCCATGTGCATTGTATTTTTGCTTCGTGCTGATTAATTACATCAGGTCCATTGTTCCATTGTTGTTATTGTTTGTGAAATGCCCATTAGCGCTGTGCCATCATTGTCATAAGTAACCGTTTGATATGACGTCACAAACGGTTTTATGAGAGGTCGTTCCAACACTATACTGAGTGGACTCCACGTTTGGCGAGAGATGAAACAGTACAAGCTTAAGTGACACTATTAACATTTTTCATGAATTACAGACCAAAGATGTTAGGCATTGGCGTTTCAATTGACATTCGTTAGCTACACACTGGCAGCGTTAGAGAAACGAGATGTAAGCCACGAAGCTGTGCCATGGAGCCATGCCTCGAATCCTGTGGCAAGGATGCCAGCTACACTGAATTGAGCGCTGTATGTGGATCCCTATATTTCCTGGCAAGTTAATGCAACTGTAGATGATACTGGTATTCTCCAGCAACGATCGACGTGGGTTCAGTTTCTTCATGATTGACGTGACATTAGGCCAGAAACCCTCGAGAACCTGTTGTCAAATGCATCTAACAGTACCTCAGGACAGTTCAATACATGTGTTCCAAGTGCATAATGAATCATTGCGTCTAAGCTTGTGTTGACTTTACACATAAACATGCTAGTGTCACTTAAACAAAATTGGTGCCGTTTACAATATGGTGTGGCATTTATAGTAATTAAGTCAGTTTAATAGTAATTTGAATAATTTGTGTTGAAACATCGATGCAGTTTTTATCTGACTGTATTAATGTGGTTTGTTTTTTAGAAGTTATCTAATGATGGATAATTTATTCATAAAGTATTTAAGTGTTCTTATCTATCTGTTCGTGAATGTCTGTCATGCGGATCTATCTATACGTTTATAACTGAACACAGCTCAACAGCTGGGGACATAGTTAGACACTTGCTGGTCGTATCGTACCTTGCCAGCGGCTGGTTCCAGCAGGTAGGTTGTGGTTATGTGTTCTGATATTACGAGATAAACAAGATGTAGTATATGTAAGAGCGCTATTCTAGAATCGATGGGGGTGTGCAGTGTGTTTTGAAAAAGAACATTTCAGAGAAACGAAATGTATGCCATGAAGCTGTGCCTCAAAGAATTTTCTGTGTCCACTTAAAACCGATCCTGTGACAATCATGGTAACAGAATACGTACCCGTTTCCATCCCTTTAAGAAGTGGGGAGCGGTGTCGTAGCCCAGTGGTTAAAGCGCTCGTCATGCCGAAGACCCGGGTTCGAATCAGCACATGGCTACAATGCGTGAAGCCCATTTCTGGTGTCCAACGCCCTGATATTGCTGGAATATTGCTAAAAGTGACATCAAACCATATTCACTCTCTTTAAAGAATTGTCTTCTGTACAAAGCAAACATGTTCAGTATGTTCAGCTGCGGTTAATCTTCTGCCACTGCAGTGAAGGCCAGAGGACACCATTGAGGAATATTCACAAGGAGAACATGTCGGGTAGACACATGGATGCCAGGCACAATTACAACCTTCGGAGGACCATGACACCGAAACAAATCGCAGACATGTTTAACGACTTCGCCGACGACTATGAAGAGGTATGTAATATATATGACTGCATGCTAGGCGCAAGGGAGGATTCTATTCTACACTGTAGCGGTGAGGTCTTTGCCAAACGTGTAGCCAGGTTATATGAGGCTCTTTGAAATTTTGATGGAAAGAGCATGCTCGACTGTACCTGTACATACAGGGAATGATTAACTGTTGGTAAGTCAAAGTCATCCCTCTTGTCATACAGTCTTGTGGAGAGTGTTTTGTCATACTGAATCTTAATGCGTAGATCTAAATATACACATGCTCAAAAGTTAAGCGCCACCCACCATATTTGTGTGCTGTTACTTTTGGCACTTAATGATGACTATTATAACGAGATGTACGATTGTTATAAGCCGTATATGTAAACCTCATGTTATGGAAAAGTTGTCCCAAAGCAAGTTTACCTTGTGTTCCAAAAGAATATGAGCAGAAAGGAATTTTACCGAAGACCAGAAATTGAAGGATTAGAAAATGTTTTTTGTCATGTAACTGTCATGATATCAGCAGACCATATCAAGTGTCACATAGACACACTAGGGAGTGCAGAGTCTATTGCAAGACAGAAACGTCAGTAACGTGTGTATGATCCACGGACATTGACCACAGGTTCAACCCTACGCCTCATACTCATTACAAGTCGTTTAATGCTTCTCTGAGGCAAACGGATCCATTCTTCATGAAGTGCGGCTTCAAGTCTAGCGAGATTTTGAACTTGGGGATCACGATGTCTGATTTTCCGGCCAAGAATGTCCCAGATATGCTCAATCGGATTAAGATCCGGACTACAGGCCGGCCAAGGAAGAGTGGCAATAGCTTCTTGACGCAAATAACCCCAAACTGCCCGAGGTCTGTGTGGTCTAGCATTGTCGTCCATGTAAACAGGTCTTGTCTGAAGAGGATGGTTGTCAAAATGAGGGACTACCACTGGACGAAGAACGGCATCTTGGTATTGTTGGCCATTCAGGTTTCCACGGATTGTCACCAGAAGTTTACAGCCGAAGGAAACACAACCCCATATCATGACAGACCCCCCGCCACATGCTAAGGTCTTCTGGATGTTCCTTGGTGCAAAACAAGTGTTACGTTGCCTCCAAACACGTATTCGACCATCAACAGTTCGTAGCAGCATTCGACACTCATCAGACCAATGGATCCTTCTCCAGTTGGCCATGTTCCATCGACTACGGGCACGACACCATATCAGACGATTCCGCATGTGCCTCTCAGTCACTTGAGGACGTTTTACTTGTCTTCTGGCGTTATAACCAGCCGCTCTAAGGCGACGCCTTACGGTCATCGTCGAGAGTCTCTGATGGGTAATCCACTGCAGTCTTAAATCTGTTGAAGTGGCAAATGGATTTTGTCTGACTATCCTGAAAAGACGTCTATCCTCTCTGTTAGAGGTCTTTCTTGGCCTACCAGACCTATGCCTGTCATTGACATCATTGGTTTGACCATGTTTGACAATCAAACGAGTGATAACACTGTGATGACGACCCATTTGTCTTGCAGTGGCCCTGCATGACATGCCAGCATTTTTCATGCCTATCACTTGCCATCTTTCAGCATTCGTTAACTTTCTCCTCACCATGGCTGATTTTCAACCTCTATTGGAAGGGGAATCTAACACAGGAGCAAAATGCAACCACGTGTCCGAAACTTGAATTTCCTTGTGGTATCTGGACAAATTTGGGTTCATGAAACTATGGAAGCCTAATTCAGTCATACATCATCATATTTCGTATTTCTGATTCCCACACGTGAAAACAAGAGACTATGAATATGGTGGCGCTTAACTTTTGTGCATGTGTATATTAAACACATCAGACGGTTTTGTTTATTTGTTTGTTGTTTAACGCCGCACTCAGCAATATCACAGCTATATGACGGCGGTCGGTACACAATCGAGTCTGGACCAGACAATCCAGTGATTGATATCATGAGCATCGATCCACGCAATTGGGATCGATGATATGCATCAACCAAGTCAGCGAGCCTGACCACCCGATCCCGTTAGTCGCCTTACACAAATGTAACTTTTGATAATTTTGTAACACTCAGTACATCTAAAACCCCATGCATAATTAATGCTTTAGCTAAATTTATATTTCTTGCTTTTAGGTAAGGGTAATACCTGTCTCATTGGAGCTGAAATTGTCTAACTCTGATATCATGTATTGTATAATGGGCCGGTAGCCCCTTTACTGAAATAAAGCTCTCTCTCTCCCTCCTTGATTGTGATAACAAATTTGCGACAAGTGATATTATTACCATGTAGATTAATGACACTAAAAACACAATGCTGACACTTTGAGTATTGATATGTTGCATGAACGTATTAGTTCTTGTAGTTTGATCTTTGTCTGAACATTCTTCGTCCTACAGGATACGAAAGTGTTAGGACTCTGCTCCCACCTACGTATTGGCGAGTACATGGCTGAAACCTACCCGGAACACCTACGGGCAGCTCTCCAAGTACTGGACGTTGGTGCCGGAACAGGATATGTCGGGGAAACGGTAAGCACCACTTGCTTCGGGCGAAGGGGTGTTTCTGTAGTATTGAATGAGTGGGTCAAGGCTATAGATGAGTTGGAACATACTTGCTGTTCCGTTTCCGGTCGCACAAGCGCATCGCACGTGCGGCAAAAGAACACAGAAGCGCACCGCTATCTCAAGGTCAGATTTCAAATTTCCCGCTGCCGTATATACGTTCCGTGTTTACACATTTATCATGACTGTATATTACAAACATCTTAGTGCTGGAGACAAACATCGTTACGAAGAAAAAACAAAATTGCCTGGATGGGAACCGTATATAAGTATTGGACTGGCGACGTTTCCCAGTGGCCAAATTTGCAGTATGGCGATCTGTACACATATCTCATAGATTCGACTGGTTCTTTCACAAGAAAGAGTCTGCGATGTTTTCAATCACTTGAGAACCAAACTTTGTTTGAAAGTGAATCAGTTTACCCGTGTCTCATCAGGTTCAACTCTTCACATACCAAGTGCATCATTAAGGTAAGTCATCCAAATGAATTTTTTTAGTTGTTACATCATCTGAACAAGCAATGTATATCTTTACAATCGTGGCACCTAATTCTGTGCGGCACCTTTGTACGTGTTTTCCATGGGAAGTGTACTCTTAATCCATAGTTTCTAAATGTGTAAACAAGAATAAAATAATATTTAGAAACGCCAGAATATTTAATTTATAATCAGCAAATCGCATGAATGTCTGTAACAGAATGTTGATTAATTTTGTTTTTCAGACCAAGGTTCACAGATCCCCAGCTCTGACAGAAGCCCCATGAAGGATGGACTGGTCTTGATAAGAGCCCAAGCTGTGACGGAATCCCCATGAAGCATGGGATGGTCTTGATAAGAGCCCAGCTGTGACAAGCCCCTTGAAGCATGGGCTGGTCTTAATAAGAGCCCAAGCTGTGACGGAAGCCCCATGAAGCATGGGCTGGTCTTGATAAGAGCCCAAGCTGTAACGAAAGCCCCATGAAGCATGGGCTGGTCTTGACAAGAGCCCAAGCTGTGACGGAAGCCCCATGAAGCATGGGCTGGTCTTAATAAGAGCCCAAGCTGTGACGGAAGCCCCATGAAGAATGGGCTGGTCTTGACAAGAGCCCAAGCTGTGATAGAAGCCCCATGAAGCATGGGCTGGTCTTAATAAGAGCCCAAGCTGTGACGGAAGCCCCATGAAGCATGGGCTGGTCTTGACAAGAGCCCAAGCTGTGACAGAAGTCCCATGAAGCAAGGCTGGTCTTAATAAGTGCCCAAGCTGTGACGGAAGCCCCATGAAGCATGGGCTGGTCTTGATAAGAGCCTAAGCTATGACAGAAGCTCCATGAAGCATGGGCTGGTCTTGATAAAAGCCTAAGCTGTGACAGAAGCCCCATGAAGCATGGGCTGGTCTTGATTCGAGTGCCAGGGCGGAGTGTGCACCCTGGACATGCATGGCAGGGTATGATGGCATTAGATTTATTTATTGAATTTCTTTTTAGGAATAAGTGTTTTTTCACTTTTGATAATCTGTTGTAAATAAATCTCATAGTAATGAATTAATAGCCTGTGTGGGATTTCATTACAACAAAGGCTCCTGTACACCCATGCTCTGTTCCTGGAATCAAACATTCACAAAGAAGGTAATATGAAAAATATGAAAATTGGAAGAACGCAATTGATATTAAACAAAATTAAATCCCATTTCCTTTATTACGTTTTAAGCAAATTGATAATGGAAGTTGAGAAATAGTTCATTGTTGAATTGCATTAATGACCTATAAAAATCATTTAGAATATTTGCAAATGTGTTTTGGTGGTTCAAATTTCAAGCTGATTTGTATTTTTTTCAAGACAGGAAAGTTTGAAAACATGTCATTATTTGAAAACTGTGTAATGTGATTTTTTTACTTAAATGTGAAAATCATTTCATCAGCTGTTTGTAGGAACGTTTTATTAGGTTGAACCAGCTATGGTGGCAGACAAAAACTTCTCCAAAGTCAAGAAGGTACACTTGGCACAATCTAATTTGAGGATAGTTCTAGTCTTTCATAAAAGTTGAGAAAAAGTGTGTACAGTGCATACCGTATGAATAATACAGTACAATGTATGCACATCGATGCTTGTCATTAGAAGCGACTAACGGGGTCGGGTAGTCAGACTCGATGACTTTGTTGGTGCATGTCATTGTATCCAAACTGCGTAGATCAATGCTCATGATATCAATCACTGGATTGTCTGGTCCAGACTCAATTACTTACAGAACGCCGTCTTATAGCTGATATATTGCGGAGTGTAGAGTTAAACAACAAACAAGCAAACAGATGTACATCAATGCATTTGTAATGTTACTTTCCTTTTTTGGAACCCTTCCAAAAAGCCAAAGTACTCTAAATTATTCATGAATATATTATTACACATCAATAATTTTGTTTGTAAGCACTTGAAGTGTAGCTCTTGTATGGAAAGAGTGGTATTCAGCACTCTCATTTCTTAGTTTGTTTATATGTGATAAATATGCTTACGACAAGTATACAAAACACCTGAAAGTGAAATACTAAGACAAAATCATGATAACATCAACATTACCTTATTTCTTTAGTTTTTTTTGTATCCAAAAGTGTTTAACATGTACCGGAAATTTAACTTTTACTTCTTCAAAATTAACATATCAGTACATGGATGTAGAACAAAGCAATAGTACTAGGATCATTTAAGGTTATCATGTCAACTGAAATTGATCATCTGTCCTAATGGTATTGAGATTTACAATTTTTACAATCAAACCTGTGGATTGGACAAATGTTACAGCACAACTTCATTACAAATACTTATGTTATATACATGCATAAACATGTGTATTATGTAGACAGCTATTCTGGTATTGGAGGACACAGATTCACAAAAGCTGAACATACTTGGACCATTTTTCCAACAGTGGTCTTTGCTGAAGTGTTCGCTTTACAAGAGTGATAGGAAGAGGACCTTTCATCACACGCCAGTCCAGGCGGTTAACCACTCGATCTCCATGTATCCGCACATTGGAATACACTCTGAATGTTTCAACTTCTTGTCTTCACAGCTGGTTCTTTCCTTTTGTGTACGCTGGTGCCATAACTATTACTGCAGTCGATCGCACAACAACTGGCAGGCATTTGGTACGGAGAAATCTTACAATAAAATCGCTGGTGTAACGTTGATTTTGGGCGGAACAAACGATGGGCACTTCCGTGTTAATTTGCCACACATGCTCGACTAACGGGATCGGGTGGACAGGCTCGCTGACTTGGTTGATACATGTCATCGATCCCAATTGCGTGGATCGATGCTCATGATGTTAATCACTGGATTGTCTAGTCCAGACTCGATTATTTTACAGACGGCCATCATATAGCTGTAATATTGCTGAGTGCGGCGTTAAACAACAAAGAAACAAACAAACACATGCTAGGAAGTTCCTGTTCATCCCGTGGGTTACAATTGTAAATGTTGAGTCTTTGCGGATCTGCAACTCATCTGTATATTGACAGATCTTAAACACCCAAAGAACTTTTAGGATATAATGGCTCTTGTTTCAGCTGTCCGAGTTGGGTTTTAAGCGAATTGATGCACTGGACCCAGCACAAAAAATGCTTGATGTTGCGAAAACTAAAAAAGTCTACAGAAGATTGATCTGCGCCTTCCTGAACAAGAACAGGATTGATGAAATTGAGACAGGTACGTTCAGGAAAGTGTTTTATAATCTCTCTCTGTTTGATGTTTAACGCCGGACGCAGCAATATTCCAGCTATATGACACCGGTATGTTAATAATCGAGTCTGGACCAGACAATCTAGTGATTGACATCATGAGCATCCATCCTCGCAATTGGGATCGATGACATGTATCTACCAAGTCAGTGAGCCTGACCACCCGATCCCGTTAGTCGCCTTTTACGACAAGCATAGTCGCCTTTTACGGCAAGCATGGGTTGCTGAAGACCTATTCTACCCTGGTATCTTCACGGGTATGATATCGTGAGCTTTGATCAACGCAATTGGGATACGATGACATGCATCAACCAAGCCAGCGAGCCTGACTACCCGATCCCGTTAGGAAGAATATTTTCCCAGTAAAGGGACATTTCTAAATGCATATGATGTCCAGTTTCTGCAGCTTGAATAAACCTTCAACATCTTTCCCTGAACATCTGGTTCGTCTTCCGGCTGTGAAAGTAGCCGTCTATCTGTTTTCAGACCAATATGATTGCATCACTACTGCAGGGGCGTTTAATGAAGGTCTCATTCCTGTCAGTGCATTCCAGGAGATGATCAGAATCGTCAAGCCAGGTGGGTGCTCCTCCTTTACAGATCATATGGTTCGGTTGAATTTGATCTTTCTTTGGCACACACTTGACAGTTTTGGACTTTCTATACAGAATATCTAATATTGTCCAATCAATCAATCATCTGAGTGGGACGTTTGTGCAATGAAGGCAATCCATCTATGCAGTATTGATTGAGCAAATGACAGTTGTCATCTTGTAGTTGTTGTCGCTTTATCTCATGTATCTTTTGTTGAAACGCTAGCAGACCCGATATCACAGAATCTGCATAGAGGTTAACATCATGTAGAGTTGAGTTTCACTCTTGTTTTCTTCCGACTTGAGTGGTGCTTTTGAAAGCGCATCTACAGAGTACATGTATTTCCCTGGAACATGTACGATGAGCAATTGACAAGCCATCAATCGCAAATTTTGATGCTGAATTCTGGGTGGAAGTTCTTCGAGGTTCTTGGAGCTAAACAGCGGAATCAAAGGTCTGTGATCCACCTGAATTGTGAACTGCAGTCTTGAACACAATGACTGTCGATGATGCGACCAAGGATGATGATGTAGTTAGGATGATGCCTTCATCTCACAAACCTGATGCTGGTTGTCTGGCTAGGTTAACAGACCTATTGCTAGTTGTCTAGCTAGTTCCACAGACCTATTGTTAGTTATCTAGCTAGGTTCACAGACCTATTGCTAGTTGTCTAGCTAGGTTCACGGGCCTATTGCTAGTTGTCTAGCTAGGTTCACATACCTATTGCAAGTTGTCTGGCTAGGCTCACAGATCTATTGCTAGTTGTCTGGCTAGGTTTACAGATCTATTGCTAGTTGTCTGGCTAGGTTCACAAACCTATTGCTAGTTGTCTGGCGAGGTTCACAGATCTATTGCTGGTTATCTAGCGAGGTTCACAGACCTATTGCTAGGTGTCTGGCTAGGTTCACAGATATGTTGCTAGTCGTCTGGCTAGGTTCACAGACCTATTGCTAGTTCTCTAGCTAGGTTCACAGACCTATTGCTGGTTGTCCGGGTAGGTTCACAGACCTATTGCTAGTTGTCTGGCTAGGTTCACAGATCTTTTGCTGGTTGTCTGGCTAGGTTCACAGACCTATTGCTAGTTGTCTAGCTAGGTTCACAGACCTATTGCTAGTTGTCTGGCGAGGTTCACAGATCTATTGCTGGTTATCTAGCGAGGTTCACAGACCTATTGCTAGGTGTCTGGCTAGGTTCACAGATATGTTGCTAGTCGTCTGGCTAGGTTCACAGACCTATTGCTAGTTCTCTAGCTAGGTTCACAGACCTATTGCTGGTTGTCCGGGTAGGTTCACAGACCTATTGCTAGTTGTCTGGCTAGGTTCACAGATCTTTTGCTGGTTGTCTGGCTAGGTTCACAGACCTATTGCTAGTTGTCTAGCTAGGTTCACAGACCTATTGCTAGTTGTCTGGCTAGGTTCACAGACCTATTGCTAGTTGTCTGGCTAGGTTCACAGACCTATTGTTAGTTGTCTGGCTAGGTTCACAGATCTATTGCTAGTTGTCTGGCTAGGTTCACAGATCTTTTGCTGGTTGTCTGGCTAGGTTCACAGACCTATTGCTAGTTGTCTAGCTAGGTTCACAAACCTATTGCTAGTTGTCTGGCGAGGTTCACAGATCTATTGCTGGTTATCTAGCGAGGTTCACAGACCTATTGCTAGGTGTCTGGCTAGGTTCACAGATATGTTGCTAGTCGTCTGGCTAGGTTCACAGACCTATTGCTAGTTCTCTAGCTAGGTTCACAGACCTATTGCTGGTTGTCCGGGTAGGTTCACAGACCTATTGCTAGTTGTCTGGCTAGGTTCACAGATCTTTTGCTGGTTGTCTGGCTAGGTTCACAGACCTATTGCTAGTTGTCTAGCTAGGTTCACAGACCTATTGCTAGTTGTCTGGCTAGGTTCACAGACCTATTGCTAGTTGTCTGGCTAGGTTCACAGACCTATTGTTAGTTGTCTGGCTAGGTTCACAGATCTATTGCTAGTTGTCTAGCTAGGTTCACCGATCTATTGCTAGTTGTCAGGCTAGGTTCACATACCTATTGCTAATTGTCTGGCTAGGTTCACCGACCTATACACACACATTGCAAATACAGTAGGAGATGTTTTGTTTTGAGGTGAAACTATAGGAAAATACAACAATATCTGGCAATGGAAGTATGTGATTTATGTGGCAAGAACATTTCCGAAGAAATCAAACTCAACTCATGAAGCACGTGACTTGAACAGACACTTTATTGAACACATTTAATCATTAAAGAAGCAACAGCATTGATCATGCGAAATTTGCAACGTACTGAACGTCTACGTGCCATAAGCATGTTGCAAGCGGGCACACGTACGTCAGAACATTGTTGTCCAAACGCTGTATGTTTCTCAATCTGTCATCAGCAGATTGTGTGCGCGATACCATCAAACACACAACATTCCACCTTTCATGATGATAATGCACATGCTCAGCGTGCCAGGATTGTGACCCAATTCTTCCAACAGCATAGAAATCATGTCATGCCATGGCCAGCTCATAGTCTTGACCGTCCCGCATTGACAGACAGACAGTTTATTCAGTATGCAAGGCCATATGGCCCATAGTACAGTTCAGATTTAACAGATACATAAAAATCAACGTGATCTTGACCATAGTATAATATATTCACCTGAGTCTAAATACATGTTTCAAATACATTGCTAAAGATTTAATAACTTCTTCATTGGTCGAATTCAACAAATTGATCATCAATTGATTGTCTTTGTGTGTAATATCTAAATTAGGTAGCAATCTTTAATCTCAACGTTTTATATTTTTCACATATAAAAAGAACATGCAACTCGTCTTCAATGTCCTGGTTGGTACAGTTAGAACATATATAATTTTCAAAATCACTATCCTTGGTTCTATGATATTTATTGACAAGGAAGTTATGGAGAGATATTCTAAATTTACAAAGAGCTCTCAATTGAGTTTTATCTTGTAATATGCTTGTTGCAACAATGATTTAATACCAGCATAATGCTTGAGAAAGTGTGAAGAGGACACTTGTTGGTGCCAGTTTTGCTGAAATATGTCTAATAATCTTTGTTTAAATTTGTCATTACCAGTGTCTTGTGAGATACATGCAAAAGAAAATCCAGTATTAAATAATATGCTTCTTACACCAGACACCCAATGTTTAAATTTGTCATTACCAGTGTCTTGTGAGATACATGCAAAAGAAAATCCAGTATTAAATAATATGCTTCTTACACCAGACACCCAATTCGTTTTCCCTTCATCGTCTAATTGTTTTAGGATTTTGTAACATTGAAATGGGTACCTGTGAGCTTCCATGTTTAATAATTTTATCCAATATTTAACAACACGCAGCTGGCTATGTACTTAAATACTAGAGCGATCAGTTTCACCAAGTACTGCCTTACTTGAAGCATATTTACCAATGCATAAAAACTGCTTAAAATACAGAGTGTGAACTTTCTCAATGAATTCAAAATAATTAATGCCCCATATTTCCGAGCCGTACAACAAAATAGGTAGAATTTTACCATCAAATATCGAATTTGCTGTTGAAAATGAGATATATTTATTTTCCTTGAACAATTTATAAATTACCTTAGATGCCTGTAGCGCTAATGTCTTACAAGCCTTGGGCCAATTTAATCTTGAGGACATTAATAGTCCTAAATACTTATAATAACTTGCAACTTTTAAATGTTTATCACCATATATCCAATTTTCATGCTTCGATACAATTCCACCATTTCTAAAAACAATAACATTGGTTTTGTCAAGGTTTACTTCTAAACCCCACTTAATACAAAATGACTGCAATACATTAAGCTGTTTCTGCAAGCCTACCACATAGAAGGCCACCAGAGCAACATCATCCGCGAACAACAATAGCATAATATCTATATTATCTTGTGTCACAAACACACCATGATGACATTCTTTGTAAATTCTAGAAACAAGTTCGTTTATAAAAAACATGAATAAGACGGGACTCAAGATGCATCTTTGACGAACACCACTGGAAGTAGTAAAACAAGGAGTTGTACCCGAGTCAGTTTTAATACATGCTTTGACTGAGAAATACATATTCTTAAGAACTATTGACAGTTTTCCACGACATCCTTTAGTGATCAATAGGAGTTACTGTAGTTGTGTAATACAGGACCACTTTGGGTTCTGCGCATGCGGGACATCCATTTCCGTCGGCTTGCGCATCCAAGATGGCGGCACGTCCGTTTCCGGGAGGCGTGCGCACCTCCAAGAGGGCGGCACATCCGTTTCTGGGGAGAAGGGGGAACCCTAAGAAGCGCTTGTACAATATGAAAAGATCAAAAATTGAAAGAAGCGCGTGTAAAATCCTTGATGTACATTTTCTTTCTTTTTTTTAAAAAAGAAAAAAGAAGGGGTGTTGTTGTTGGTGGTGGAGGTGCCAGCGGCGGCGGCGGCGGAGGAGGAGGAGGAGGGGGGAGGAGGAGGTGGTGAGTTCTTTGTTTGGGTGTGAGGGTCGTCAAAGCCATGGATGAAAGCGATCTTTCGGGAGAGATGGGTGGCCCTGAAAAGGGCCGTTGGAAAACAAACTGGAAACTGGAAATGACAGGAAACTGTAGGAACACTGGAACACTGAAAAAACAGTGCAGCAAAATGTCCCATGCGTTAGTCACTTTGCTCAGATGATCTATCTTCTTCTTCTTTTTCCTCCTCTTCCTCAGGCTGATGATGTCGTCGGCGCTTTGAAGAGTGCTTTCTTGGGGGGCTTCTGTCCCGTTTTCTTCTCCCTAGACGTGGTGTGATGCCCTCGTGGAGTTGTGTGATGCATTATTTTAAGGCACGGACAGCGATATGCATGGCTTCTATGAGATGAGGCACTTGTGTCACTTGTGTCACTGGTGTCACTGGTGTTGACATTGTCGGCGCTGCTGAAGTTTCTTTCGACTGGGTTCTGGGCAATCTGCAGCGAAATGACCCAAGACTTGGCAGTTGTAACATGGTCCCTGAGGAGTCTTCTTTCGACTGGGTTCTGGGCAATCTGCAGCGAAATGACCCACGACTTGACAGTTGTAACATGGGCCCTTGGGAGTCTTCTACTTATCTTGACTGCTTATCTTCGGACAGACATAGTGGCGGTGACCTTGAGTGTGGCACTCGGTACATGTCACTTCAGGGCAGTACAGGTAACTGTGACTGTCGGTTTGACACTTCATGCAGCTGTATCGAGACGACATGGTTGATTTCATACAATGCAGTGTGGCTTTGCTCTTGTTTTTATAGGAAAGGGATTGGTTCGCCACGCAGCGCCCCCGATTGGTTCGTTCCGGCGCCTGGTCTGCACCTCGGTTTTCCAAAACGGACCGACCCCTGTGTTTCCTTTCCATAGGAAATGGATTTTACCACTGGAGAGAAAGCACAAATTCGGTTCGACCAATCAGAGCCCACAACGGTCCGAGCACGGCCTCTGATTGGTAAAAAAAACAGGCTTCTGATTGGTCAGATTTCGATCCGGTTTTATTTCTGGGGTGTGCATTTCGATCATGTTTTGGTTTTCTTCATCCTACAGTCAACATAACACTTATGTTTGTTCAACTTTTTAATCCCTCGCTCACATGAACCAAC